ACCTTACTAGTCTTTACTTTCCACTTGGATTTAATGACACTTTTGCTCCTGGCATTTTCTTTAGGACATAGTCTTTTGTTTCCTGGCTTCTACAACTTATACCTGCTCAGGTTACCAGCCCTGGCCGGCCTCTCCCATGTGAAAGTGCCTCCCACCCCTTTAGATGTGGTGCACCCCTTTAGGGGCAGCATGGCTATAAAGTGACAGCGTGAGTCATAGCCATAGCTAGAGAGCAAGAAGGGGTTGGGGTGGGCATCTTACATTGTTTGGATGAGAGAGTTGCTGAAGATGAAGGAATACATGAAAAAATCTGAGGTAGGAAAGTTACTAGAATGATGGAGAAGGTAAATCAGGATGCAGCCGCACATCTGGTCATAAGAGGCCAGAACTAAACAAATGCTTAATGAAGGTAAGCTTTCAGCTGATGGTGACCATAGAAATGAAGAAAACTATCAGTAGACTTATTGTAGTTGACTGGGTCTGGTTTTGTTCTTACCTACTGAGTCCTTATGTGGTATGCAGTGTGCCAAGGCTCATGTACATTATCCATTTTCATATACACGACCTATTTTAATACTTACAAATATTTGAGAATTAAACTCTACACAGTTAAAACATATGAGGACTTAAATTTATAAAGAGTAATACACCATGTAAAATACCATTTCATGTAGCTGGGTGTGGTGGTGCATTCCTATAATCCCAACACTCTGGAAGGGGTAGAAGGATCACAAGTTTAAACCTAGTGTGGACAATTCAGTGACTTAGTGAGACCCTCTTCAAAAACAGATGTGATGCTGGTAATGTAGCTCACATGAAGGCCTTGAGTTCAATCCCCAGTGCTTCAGAAAAAAAGTGTTTCACATGTTCTTACTTACATTGTGTAGCAATCATTGATATTCATCAATGTATTTTCTTCTTATTTCATAGGCAAAGAAGCCAAGAATGAGCTTTGAAGACCCCATTGTTTTTGAAGCTGCCTACTGCCAGCCATAGTCAGCCCCACCTGGGTCTGTAACGCTTGACTATCACTGGTCAACCCTTGCACTGTGTCTCCATTGAGTGTCTGTGGGCAAAGTTCCAAAGCCAGCTGTGAGCACTGGAGATAAAGCATTTAATGATAAGGGTTTCTAATATCACAGAATTGTTCCATGATAGATGTGGCAAGGTGATGATTTATGTGCCACAAAGGCACTAAGACTGAGTCTTTGTCTGGGGAGAAATTTGATGAGGAGAACTCCATCCTGAAGCACACAGGTTCTAGCATCTTGCCCATGACAAATGCTGGATTGAACATCAATGATTCTCAATTCTTCACTTACACCCCCAAGCCTGGTCCTTTGAGAAGGTGAAAGAAGACAAGAACATTGTGAATGCTATGGTGCATGCTGGGGCTATGAAAGTCAAGACCAGAACAAAGAATGTGTTCATCAGCTGAGGAGAATTCTAATAGTTTGAATTTATTTTTATCTTAACCTCTAGACCATTCCTTTGGGAGCTCACACAGGCAGCCTGACACTTACTCTGTTTGCAACATCTTATCATCTTTGTGGCTGCAGTTCTTAAGAGTTCCACGTTTTCAGGGCTGGGGATTTAGCTCAGCGGCATAAGTGCCTGCCTTGCAAGCAGGCAGTCGTGAGTTCGATCCCTGGTACCGATAAAAACGAAAAAGACAAAAAAAAAAAAAAAAGTTCCACATTTTCCTTATTCTACTCCAAGTTTACTTGCATTGCACAGCTAAGTTTGCACTTACGAAATAAAAACTAAATAGAAAAGAAGAAGAAAGCAGGGTTTGGTGGTATATAACTATAACCCCAGCACTCAGGAGGATGAGGCAGGAGGATCATTGCAAGTTCAAGACCAGCCTGGGCTACAAAGTGAGTTCAAGGCCAGCCTGAATGGCATAGTGAGACCCTGTCTCAAAAAGACAAAAAACAAAAAAAAGAAGGAGGAGGAGGAGGAGAAGGATCATCATCATCATCATCAGCAGCAGCAGCAGCAGCAGCAGGAGCAGCCAGGGGTCATAGAAATAAAATAATTTGAATGGAATGCAGGTTCTTGACCTTAATCTGCTAAAGGAGCGATTATTTTAATAAGTCACACTTGAAAACAGACTTGAAAATATAGGGCTATTTGAACCTTTGTACTGAGCTACCTCCTCAAACTGTTTTCATTTAAATATAGGGTCTCGCTAAACTATGAAGTTGTCCACTATGGGTTTGAACTTTTGATTCTCCTGCTTCAGCTTCCCAGAATGCTGGTACTGCAGGTGTGTGCCACCTCACTTGGATGAAAATATAAGGCCATTTATTTATTTATTTATTTATTGGTACTGGTGATCAAAATCACGACTTCATGCTTGCAAGGCAGGCACTTACACCACTGAGCTAAATCCTCAGCCATATGAGGCCTTTTAAACAGCTAGTGTGTTGGCCATAGGTACTCCCTCTGCCTACATGGGAGAGCAGAGCCCTGCTGATTTTAGGTGTTGGAGAAGGCTCTCTAAAGCCAGGTGGCACGCTGACCACTGCTCCAGAGGGACCAAAACCTCAAATGAATTGAGAAATGACAAGTTGTTTATCCTAAAAACCTTGTTCTAGTCAAACCTGTATTTCATAGACTCCTTTTTCTCTTTCTCCTTCAAAAAAAAATCATACCAGGTCTACATTTATTAAAATTTTAATCAAATTGGAGCAAATCAGGGATTAATGCTGCTTTTAGAGAGAGACAATAGTTCATTGTTCTTTACTTGTTTTGAGTCCATTACAAAAGAACTCAGTATTTCATCTTGTTGGTTATTTCTAGGGATTAAACAATCTTTATTTTTCATAAAATGTGAGATTATCATTATAACAGAGAGCCCACAGTTTTTCAGCATTAGTTTTGAATGGATTTTTTCAGTGCTTTGGAGTTACATCAGGTCATGCAATTTAGTAGTTTACATTCATTGAGCATTAATTCTGTGCTAGTACTTCACTAAGCACTTTGCATATATTATCTAGTTCAGTCTCCACTGTCTCTTCCTGAGAGGCAGCATTATGATCTGCAATTGTAGGGAGGAACTTGAGCCACTCCGTGGTTAAACATCCTTCTCTGCTAGTCAGCTTTGAACAGGATTTGTTGAGAAAAGAGCCATCTCAGCTTGTAAATCATGAAAAGAGCAACTTGGTCAACTTGGAGATGGCTCACAAGTGGCCTTTGATTGTGTAGAATATTAACCCTGTAGCTAGAATTAAATCAGAAATTTCTCATAGAGAATGAAGGAAGAAGGGAACTGTAGCCAGTGTTTGGTACAGTTCCTATGAAAATTCCTTGCCAGTTGCTAGGGAGAACAGGATGAGATGTATCAGAGTTTGAAGTCTGGTGGGCAGATTTGGGCTCTATCTGTGGGCCAGGCATTGTCTAATCCTGCTTAACTTACAGTTACTGTTAATTTAAAATGGACACAAAAATTGTAACACAATTTATTATTGTTTCCAGTTTTTAAACATTCATAGCCTTCTCTTGTGGTCAGACTTTCAGATTTCTTCCACTTTGGAGTAAGAATAGGTAATATTCTGTTGAACTTTTTGGTTTCTATAAAATATTTTCTTATGTAGTCTGTAGGTCAAATGGTATGAAAGTCCTTATAGTTCTTTCAATACATTATTATACTACTTTCTAGAAGTTTGTTAGTTACTCAAGAAATATTTATTGATCATCTGCTATATATCAGGTCTCATATTAACCCATAAGGATAAAGTGTGAACAGATAGGGTGTCTGCCCTCAAGAAGCACTCCAGATGCACTCCGCTAGAAACATGCTTTAATTCTGGTGCATAATCAGCAGCGTCAAAATGGAAAAGAAGTCTTTTATGTGAGTTCTTTTTAAACTTACATTTAATGTTTCAGTGTTTGCATTCTATTTTTATATCAAATATTTTTGTATGTAGGTGAACCAATTTTGTGTGGTGTATTGTTAGCCATTTTATAGTCTATTTGTACACTTGTTTTCCTTATAAAATTGAAAGACCTTTACATCTCTTTCAATATTTATATTTCCAGTTGTCTTACATGATTAAAAGTAATAAAATCATACGTAAACTAAAATTCTCATGTTTTTGATTTTGTCTTTTTGTTATATCCTCTTTTGCTTCTAAACTGAATTACTATTTCCTCAATAAATGTGATATATATTTTCTGACGGTATCCTTCTAACTGAATTTTAATATTTTGGAAAGACTTTGAGTGCATTTTAGAATGATTGCTTTAATATCCATGCAATTCTTTTATGTAGTTGAAGCGTCTTCTGATTTCCTTTTCTATCCTATTGAATAATTTCCATTACTTGTATTTTTTGGCCCATTAAAATATTAGTGCTTTAGAGTGTGCATTTGACTAAAGTCCTTTAAGGGGAATTGGTTGTTTTTCAGAATGTATGTCTTTCTTGTTTCAAAATATTATTGTAAAGTTTATTGTACTGAATTAAATCTTATGGCATCAATTTGGGACTAGGCAAATCACTTGTTGGTTGCCCGACCTTTCACAAGTGTATTAACTCTAAACCTCAGTTCCGCCTCAGCAAACTGGGAATAATATCAATACTTACAGAATTTTTAAGACTAACAAAACGGGGTAAGGCATTTCTTGCGTTTCCCATCACAAATCTTGCATAGGAAATACTAGCGGGGTATTATGATTAACGTGAGGAAACATAGTCATTCACAATGCGAAGTCTTCGACTGTAAAACAGAGTTTATGCTTCTTTTACATTAGAGATCCACATGAATGTCACTGCAGTCTTTTTTAAAATTCATTTTAGTGAGGTACCAGCTGCGGCTCATCACTGCTCCTCTTTCTGTGGGATGAGCAGGTGACAGGTCGGCGCATGACTGTTGCCAGGGAGATGAAGGCGGAACCCAATCGCAGGCGCTTCCGGGGGGAGGGAGGAAGTAAAGGCGCAGCGCAGCATGCAACGTTAAGCAGCCAATCAGAAGGCGAGGCGCCTATTCAAATTGCGGTCACCGCGGGAGTCAGCACTGAGGCAGGGAAGTGACTGGAGTGTAGACTCTGGAGGACCCCGGAGCTGGCGGACCTTGCTGGTGGGCGTGTGGATACTTTTCCTGCTGGTTTTCGCTGCGGGCGCGAGCTAGTCGTCTTAACGCCGGACCCCGCTGCTGTCTCCAGAACTTCGGGTCAGCTGCAGGGGGTCCCTGGAGGAAGGGCGCAGGGCAGCGGCTGTGTTCCCACCCAGAGGCCGGGCTTCAGGGCCGTGGGTCCCGCCTGCCCCCTTGAAGTCGGGCCGAGTCGGTTGGCTTTGAGAGAGAGGTACTTTCTTTGCCCACAGTTCTCGGTAGTGACTAGAAGATGAAAACAAATGTGTGGGGTGTTTCGGTTTGACTTGTGACTGTTGCTGACTGTTTTATTTTTGTAAAACTTTAAAAGACTCACTTAAAGGTGAGTTTTTATTTATTTGTTCCTCAATAGCCATCATGGCCGGAATAGTTTAAGTCAGTATCATTTACGAGTTAGACATGCAAATTTAAAGACTTGCTTATACATCCATGTAAGGAGTTTGATGCATATTTGACTAAAAGCCAAGTCTCTTAGTTGGCACTGTTCTCTTTCTATTTTAATTCCTAATGAATAATGTTGGCATTATGTTTATATCAATTTAATTGCTGCATTCAGCATGCAACTAAAATGGTATTTATAAAAATGCTTTGCTCCCGACTCTGATTTAGGTGCTAAGATTTTCTCTAGTTTTTCTTCCTACTCCCCAAACTGGGAGTATTAAAAACAATTATCTGTATACTGACATTCACTTTTAACATCTGTTAAACCATTTGGCAGATTTTATCTGATATAAAGCTTGTTTGTATCTTCATTTCTTCGAGACTAAAGAAATAAGAAAAAGATCTTGTCTTTGAAGCCGGTAGTACGAACCGCAGAACCTGACATAAATAGAATGCTCAATAAATAGTTCAGTAGTTACTGGATGCCTTCTGAGGCAGAGATTTGTCAAAAGCTGCTTAGAAGTGATATCTGAGCTGGAGATTGTGATTTATTCTAATGTATAGCTCTGAGAACTAACTTTTACAATAGGAGATTCTCAATATTTTTGAAGCATGTTTGTAATCTATGTAATCTAATTTTTTTTCAGCGTGTTTCAGGAAACATGTATATGAAATACCTGGAAAAGAAATAAAGATCCAAAGAACAACTTCGGTTCTTAATTCTTTTAAAAAGAACTTGCTGCCAAAATGTCAGTGCACACTATTCATAATAGAAATAACGGTATTTTCCTGGAAGTTCCTTCTTCCCAAAAGAGTTCATCACTGAGTGGCGTCACTCACAGTAGCCAACTTAAATTGCCTTTGAAGTCAGATATGTCAGAATGCAAAAAAGATGATCCATTATTGAGAGCTGCATGTAAAATCAGAGACTTAAATAGCACTTATGTTATTTCTGCCTGTAAAACAACAGGAGATACATCCCTTACCATTAACCCCACAAGTAAATTGACACTTCAAAGAAGAGCTACAAGAAGCAAAGAATCCTCTTTACTTAATGAGTCTAGAGACACAACTGAGAAAACGGCTGAAACAAGTCTTACTCTACAGCGTCGTGCTAAAACAGTGTCTGCGGAAAAGTGGAAAACACGGCAGAATGTGGGAAATGAAACAGAAAGTAATTGTGCTTCACAGAGAACTAGGATAAATGTGAAGACCGTAAATAACAATCCAAGTTCTTTTGTTACATCTCATACACAGATAGCAGAGGATTCCAAAGACGTTGCATTAATGGGTGATCAGAAATATAAAGAAACATTTTCTGCCCTCAGTAGGGCAAATGAAAATACTGCGCTTAAGCACTCAAGCAGTAGCTCACTCATGGGTTCCCAGGATCAGAGAGAGGCTGGTAGACCAGGACCACTGGCAACAAAACTTATCCAGAGTAACTTGAATATCAAAGTAATGGGAACAGAAAACTTACATCCTAGTGTTGGAAAGGACACTGCAAAAAATTCAAGTAAATTTGGAAGTTTAGACAAAAGAACTCCTGTGAAATGTACGACAGAATACAAATCGACACCAAAGCATGACCTGCCTCATCCCAAGAGCCCAGGTACATCAATACTGAAAAATAGGACACCTTGTTTTCAAGTTAAACAGAGGCCAAAAAATTCTTTTTCAAGTAAAAGGGAAATTTCTCAAAAAAATGCGCTCCCTATTGAAGAAGAAACTGCAGTTCAGAATACCTCTACAGAAACAGACCTCTTGAAAGTAGAAAATAGTCAAGTGACTGTGGCAGTACGTGTAAGGCCATTCAGCAAACGGTATGTTATCTGTTTTAAATCTAAGGCCAAGCTAGTACCATGTAATGTGTTTTTAATTCCTCTGCTTTTAGAAAGTATTCAGGTGTCTTCAAGCTTGTTGGGAAGGTTTTAAAATCAAAACAATGTTTAGCTGTAAAAATGTAATCATTATTTTTTGTATATAAGGTTCTCTGAATGTATTAGGAGTCACTTAATTCTGTAAAGCAGCCTGCTTTCAAATCTGATATATGATAGGACCTTCTTTAAAAAAAGAAGTCTTTAAAAAGTGCCACAACTCTCAGGTGCAATGGCGTACACCTGTAATCCCAGCTACTTGAGAGGCTGAGGCAGAAGATTGTAGGTTTGAGGCTAGCCTGGGAAACTTAGACCTTGTCTCAAAATTAAGCGGGTAGGGTATAGCTCAGTGCTAAAGCCATAGGTTCAATCCCTACTGCCACTACCACCACCACCACCACCACCATAACAACAAAAAATCTACAACAACCTACCTGTTTTCCAAAGGTGTTTTTCCTAAACCCTTTACTGAGTGGTGATCATCAGCACCATTGTCTGTTATTAAAAAATGGTGATTTATTATGTTTGATTTTGATGCATGATAAACTCTCCAAAGGCAATTGGGAAATTTTTTTAAAAAGATGATCGAGGTATAAGTCACAGATTGAAAAGAGTTGAGCAAGATGGATATAATTAAATCAAATGTGAAGATGGAACTTATTTATAAGTATTTTAAGGGGAGTCAGTAAAAACTTTAGAGGGTCAGTAGTTTTTAATTTGATTCTGTGTATTTAAGCAAGTTCAAAATGGATATGGTGACCACTGCTTTGTGGAAGGAACCTCCAACTCGAAGGTAGAGAGTGAGGAGTTAACAACAAGTTATACAAGCGATATAAGGACTTTTAGTGAAATGCATCAGTACTAAGGGGGAGAACGAGGGCGAGTCAGTGTGAGGATGTTAGGAAGCCTAACTCAGTTTTCAAAGTCTAGCTTCTCTGCTTCAAGGACAAGGAACGGAAAAGAGGTAGTAGGACAGAGGTGGTAGGGACAAAGCATTAGATGAATGACTTCACTGTGGAGAACCTAGTAAGTGACGACGTGCAAGGTTTGAGACTCATCAGAGAGTCCCTGGAGCTGCACTTGTCAAATTGCAGAGGCAAGTGATTTCCAGGATAAATTATGATTTTGACCAGGTTCTTAGGGCAAGGGGTGGAAGAGTGGGGGAGGGGAGGGGCTGACATACGGGCCCAGAAGTTGAATGGTAATGTTTTCCAGAGATCTAAAGTAAGTGAAAGATTCCTACCTACGTTTGAAATGGAAGAATGAGGGAAGAAACTAAAAAATGAAGATTTGTGATTTGTAAGGGAAAATAAATTAGTGGAAAGAGAGACTTTTAGATTAACAATGTAAACAATAGCCAAAAGGAATAGCCAAAAGGAATTTATAATTTAAATTTGTATTGCACTGAGCTAGTTGAAATTATATTTGTATTTTATGACAGGTTTATATAGATATGTACCCCAGAACTTCTTTGTAATAAAATGGTTCCAGATTTGAATTGAAGTATATAGATAGATTATAGCAGGTGGGATGGGAAAAAGTATGGTTCAAGAGAAAACTAGGGAAAATATTGTTCAAGTAGTTTAGGTTTTCTGGACAAGATATCTGAAATTCCATTTCCTTTTTGAGTAATGGCATGAGAGATATGAGAAACTTATATTAGAAACCACCTTGAATTGAGTTTCCCAATTTTCCACATAAAAGTATTGTCTTGAAGGAATGATAGATTTAACTACTTCTCAGGTCCTTACTATGTTTTGTGGGAATGGCATCCACAATAATTACAGTAACTTGACTTTTCCTTTGTGCTTCTTTATAAAGAGAGAAGATTGAAAAGGAATCTCAGGTGGTCTTCATGAATGGGGAAGAGATAATTGTGGAACACCCTGACATGCAGCAAGCTTATACTTTTATTTATGATGTTTCGTTCTGGTCTTTTGATGAATGTCATCCTCTCTATGCTAGCCAGATGACTGTCTATGAGACACTGGCAGCACCACTTCTACAAAGAGCCTTTGAAGGCTACAACACCTGCCTCTTCGCTTATGGTCAGACTGGCTCTGGAAAGTCATACACGTAAGTTGTATTGTAGATAGAACTATCTAGAAATCCTTATCTTTTATTTTTTGTGAGAGGCAGCATGGTTGATAAAACATAGTTTTGAAACTACATAGATGAGCCTTATCTATTATATATTGTATTGTGCAAATGTATAAATAACTTAATCTGTCTCTTTCACGTTACATATGAGATATGTATCATTGGCTCCATTTTACTATAATTAATATTGTGTAAACTGAATTTGACTCCCAATTATTACTAGTATTGTTACTTGTACTCACACGTATTACAAGTATTAAATGTTTTTGTAATAATTAGTAGTAAGGCATCTTAGTCTCAGTCTAGTGTTGTCTAGTGTTTGGCAGTATTTTTCCTGTACTGAGTATCTGTTAACTTACGGTGCATAAACCTGGATAAAACTGTGGGACACTTGTTTATCAAGTCAGCAGTGTTCGCATACACTTGTCTTATATAAGTAACTAGCTGTACTAAAAATTCCTTTAGATAGAACAGTTTTTTAAAAAAGATATAGCATAGTAGGGTAACTATGGCTGAAAATAATTAATTGTATATTTGAAAATAGCTGAAGAGAATTTTTTTAATGTTCCTAGAAGAGAGAAATGATAAATGTCTGAGGTGATGGATGTGCTAATTACTTTGATCTGACCATGATACATTATATACATGTATTAAAATGTATCTCTGTACCCCATAAATATGTACAATTATTCCATGTCAGTTAACAACTTAAAAAATATTAAAAAGTGGAGCATTCAATAAATGGTAGCTATGATAATAATACCCATTTTAGAAGGAAATATTTGGAATTCTAATAGTAGCTAGCATTTATTGAGTGCGTACTATATTTCAGGCTTTGTGCTAAAGATTTTGCCCGTATTTTCTCACGACAACTCTCTGAATTAGATACTTCTATTGTTCTAATTTTACAGAAGAGGAGGAGATTGAGGTTAGTGAGGTTAAGTATCTTGTCCAAAGTCACACAGTTAATAATTAGTAAAATTAAGGTTTAGATTTAGGCAGATTTGGTTCCAGAACCCTGATTCTTTGGTATTAACTATGAACTTTAACTAGCTTATTCTTTTTCTTCCCCAGCCCATTTTCTAAAAATAATTTTTTATATCCAAAACTAATTAATGTTACTTTCCTCTTATTCATAATGTATTTTTCAGGATGATGGGATTTAGTGAAGAACCAGGAATAATTCCAAGATTTTGTGAAGATCTTTTTGCTCAAGTAGCCCAAAAACAAAACCAAGAGGTATGTTCAAATTCAAATCAGAGTCATGACTACTAAGGAACTAGCTAATATGAGATACACACAATAATATTCTTACTTGTATGTCACTTTCTTTTCAAGTAATGCAGAGAGGGAGGATGAGGAATTCTAAATTAGAAGCAATTTTTGCAAGTGGATTTGGCAATAAATGCATTATCTCTTCTCTTTTCCACCTTTGTTTTATTCCTTGGTGTATGTGTAGTAGTTCATGTGTGGTAGATACACACTGTTGTATATGTCTCTGCAGTCAATCAGGGGCATAGACTTAACTAAGGAGAGTGGGCAAATTCTTGGACAGTGCAAAGCAGAAACAGTAGTGAAGCTAAGTTTGAACTCAGATTCAACTTGAAAGCCATGCCTTATCAGCTGTAGCACACCTGAGCAGTCCTTGGTTGCTTTTTCACTTATTCATTCTTATGTTCTGCAAGTGTTTCATGAGCATCTGGTGTTGCCAGGCAGTGTATTAGATTTTGCTTAATTATAAAAATCACCAGGTTTTTATAAAAATTTACCAGGGCATAGCAGGTATGGATGTGTATGTTAGTGGGGAGGGGACTGTGGGTGTATGTCTGTAGGTTTGTGGGTTTGTGCTAGAAATGTCTTCTGGAGATTCTTAACAATTTTAGTGTATACTGTGGAGATTTATAATTTTTACACTTTAATGAGAAAAATTGAGAAAATATTGTGCTAAATTTGGTGTTATAGGATTAAAAAACCTAATCTTTATAGTCAAGAGAATGTAAAAGAGAAATGGGCCAGTCAATAGGCAAATCCAGTCAATTAAATGCTAAATAAATTCAAGAAAATACTTTGATGTAACATTGTCTTAATTCTTTTTCTGTTGCTGTTAAAAATATACTGAAGACTGTGTAATTTGTAAAAGAAAAACTTTACTTCTCACTGTATTAGAAGCATGGAAGTCCAGTGTCAAGGTATTTACATCTGATGGGGATATTTTTGTTATATCATAAGATGGCAGAAGGTATTAAATGACAAGAAGCAGGTCAAGTGCAGTTCTCTCCTTCTTGTAAACTTGTTAATCTGGTCATCGGAATCACACCAGCAGGACCTTATCCAGCTCTCACCACCGTCCAAAGTCCCGCCTCCAAATAACACAAGGATATGAATTTGAAGATTACATTTCCAGCATATGTTCTTTTGTGGGATATATTCAAACCATTGGAGGAAGGAAAGTAAGGAATATGTTAAGATTGGAGGGAGACAGATTTTCTTTGAAAGGGGAATGTCTGAATTTGTTTTTAAAGAATATAGTAGTTTTTACTTTGGAAAAAAAGAGGGAAAACATTCCAGTCAGAAGAAGCAGTATAAAGGTTTGAAACCAAGAAAGTAGGGAGCCCTTGGGAAATGATACGTGCTTTACTTTGTTTTGAACATGAGATTTGAGGCTGGAGAGTGACAGGAGATGAATCTAGAGAGGTAGGCAGAACTTGGCTCATGAAGGACTTCATAAACCAATCTTCTAAAAATCTCGGAAGCTAGAGAAGAATTTTAAGCAGGCAAATAACATAATCATATTTACTCTTCATTAAAAAAAAAAAAAAAGAAAAAGAAAAAGACAGCCCTGATTCTGGCATGGTGGTGTGTACTTGTAATCCCAGCTGCTTGAGAGGTTAAAGCAGGAAGATTGCAAGTTCAAGCCCAGCCTATTAAGTAATTACAGCCTTTTTCCTCTTTTCTCTAAGCTTTGGCAACTGTGTATCTCCACTGTGTATCTCCATGTGTATCCACTGTGTATCTCCATGAATTTACCTATTTTAGAAATTTCATACATGTAATTGTGCAAGATGTTACCTTTTATGTTTGAGTTCTTTCACTTAGCATAATGTATTGTCATGTTGTAGTGTGTTAGTATTTCTTTTCTTTTTATAGCTGATTGATATCTATTGTATGGCAATATCAGTATGGCTTATTTTTAATTTTTTGTGAATACTGCTGCTATAAACATTGATGTATAAATCTTTATTTGAATGTTCATTCACATTTCTCTTGGATGTATAAAATAGGGACAGATGGTAAAATAATGTGTTTAACTTTTTGAGGAGCTGCCAAGTATTTTCTTCAGTGGTAGCACCATTTTGCATTTCTACAGGCAGTGGAAGAAGGTTTCAGCTTCTCTATATCCACATCAATGCTTAATGTTTTCCTTATTTATTTATTTATTTTTGGATTACAGATATCCCATGGTAGTAAGTACAAAGTGAGTTCTTATTGTGGTTTTGATTTCCATTTTCCTACTGACAAATGATGTTGAGATTCATTAAATGTTTGTTTGCCACTTTAGATCTTCTTTAAGAAATGTCTATTCAAATCTTTTAATTATTTTTAAACGGTGTTACTTGTCTTTTTGTTGTTGATTGGTAAGACTTCTTCATACATTCTGGACACCAGACTCCTGCCAGATACACAATTTATAAAACATGCAAAAATTTTTAAAATAAATTGAATTCTATGTTTCTATTCCCACTAGGTCAGCTATCATTTTGAAATGAGCTTCTTTGAAGTATATAATGAAAAAATTCACGACCTTCTGGTTTGTAAAGGTGAAAATGGTCAGAGAAAGCAACCAGTAAGATTAAAACAATTTATCATTTTTGTGTTCAATTTCTTTTTTCTATAAGAATGTATAATTATGTGAGTTCTTTGGATAGTAAAGCTTAAGTCTACTAAAATGCTTTTACTTAATAGCAAATTCTTGGGATATAAATTGTATTACATTGTTATTTAGAAAATAAGCCAGATATTATCACTGAATATTAAGTTGGTTAAGATTTAACCTCATTTTAATCAAATAAAATTAAAGATCAGATAATTGTTCTGACTTAGTTGGATTACCTAAGTCAAACACAAAATCTCTGAAGTCTGTAAGCCAAAATATAGTGAAAGTTTTAAAAAGTTTTTTAAATATAGTAAGTATTTTAGTGGACTGATTAGTAAAATTGCATTTTGTAGATAATTATAAAATTAACTTAAAAAAAAGTGCTTTTATATTTTTTAAATTTCATAAAGGACCTTGCAGCAGAAGAAGTGCAAGTCCAGTTACCATCTTTGCCACTACCCGTTTAGCAATGTCAGAGATTTACAACATGATGTTTTCTTCTATGACTTCTGTGTGTTTTGGAATTTCTGGTCACAAAGTTTAAAATGTAAACCAAAATGAAAAATCATAAATGTATGAAATCTAGTGAATGTTTTAGAGAGATTTAGATGTATATAAATAATAGCTGCCACAGGATTTAACTTAAGAATAAAAAAACTAGGAAGACATTTGATGGATAGTATATTTTTATATATTGTGCAACTATAAACAGTTTTTATGGTGAAACTGTTTCTTAAAGATTTGTTTTTGTGAGAATCTATGTATTTATTTCTGGACAAAATAAATGCAAATCTTTACCTTAAACTCAAAATATAGAAAAAAATGATTACATAAAATATTTTTCATACTCTTAACTCTGGTAATATTTGTTTCTCCTAGCTGAGAGTGAGGGAGCATCCCATTTCTGGACCATTTGTTGAAGCTCTGTCAATGTAAGTGTCTGGCTCAGAAAGAGCAAGGAGGAGGAAATAAATGAATAGAGTGGATCTTGCTTTTTCATAACCTCATTGTACTCTCTGATACCCTGGACACCTATTTAGCTCTCTGTCTTTAATTGAATTTTATGTCTTCCTCCAAATAGTATTTCTTTTTATATTTGTTTATATCTTTTACATCAGTCTGTAAAGTGCCCAGCATAGAGTGTTGATTAACTGAATATGAAATAAATATTCGATTTTCCACCTTTTTATCTTCTCATTAAGTTAAAATGTCCCTCTTAGTCTTCTTTTTTTTTTTTTGTCTATTACTTTAATCTGGAAAGGGAAGAAGGCAATATGTTAAGAATTTTATGTGTGCCAAGAGTCATTGACTTTCTCTTTCAACATTTTAAATACTTTTCTTAAAGGAAATAAAAAGTGATTCAGTATAAGTTTAGTTCTATTTAATAAATCAGATTTTCTTTTGGGAACCTGTACGTCCACACATATATGATACCTATGCATATATGTGTTAAATCTTTATTTTTTTGATGTTGTGATTTAGATTTAAATGTTATAATATTAAGTTACTAAGGTACTTAAAGTTATACTTTTTTGGTAAAATTAGAGCATTATTTTACTTCCTGCCCTTTAAGAAAAAAGAGAATGAGCCAGGTGCAGTGGTGTGTGCAATGAAAGGTTCTGGAGAATCACTATAATATTTATGAATTGGCCTATTTTGATCTTTAGAGAGTAATCATGTAATTGGAGGTTTATTGTCCTATGAGAACCAGATTATAATCATTAGTAAAGTTGATTTTTTTTTCTTCTTAAAAAATAGGAATGTTATTAGTTCTTACTCCGATATCCAGGTAAGAATAATTGTATTTTATCTTCTTTTTAATAGATAGAGCATACTGATGAATGTTTATAAGAATTTTTTCCCTTATTTGTTGTTTGCATGAATGTAAGGTTAATCTTGTTAATTTATTATGTACTGATTTTTTAAAAGTTTTAATCAAAAGAATTGCTGTTCTGAGTTAAAAATAAATAAAAATAGATAACCATCATGTCAGTTTATAGTTAATAGCTTTTTTAAAGATACTGTTTCTGATTCAGGTTTCTGAAAGAAAAGGCAAAGCTAGTATAAATTATTAAAATATGAACACATTAACGTCATTTTGTAAACTATACATGTGTTATGTGTGTTTAAGAAGCAAATGTACTTTCTTAACTTCATTGCTCCTTAATATTTTTTTCCAATGAATTACAGTCTGCCTGTCTGACCTCCCTTGCTTCTTTTTAATTAGAGTTGGCTGGAATTGGGAAATAAACAGAGAGCAACTGCTGCTACTGGTATGAATGATAAAAGCTCCCGTTCTCATTCAGTTTTTACCCTGGTGATGACCCAGACCAAGGTATTTTTTCGTTGCTTTTATTTTTATAAGTAAGATAATAAATACATTTGTTTTGTTTTTCTTTTCTTTTGTAAATCAAAAGATAAAAGTATCGTTGTGAAACTATACAAACATGAATGGAATTTAGAAAATAAACACAGTAACTTTAAAGGACCTTTGGCATTTATAGCAGTATATTATTTTTCATTGTTATTTAAATTATCGTGTTTTTTTCACTTTTTTTTTTCTTTTTTCTTTTAATTGGTACTGGTGATCAAATATTTATCATATTATTGATATGAATTTATCAGTAGATAATATATTGTCAATAATATATAGTAATTACAGAATCTTTGGGAAAACACCTGGAAATAAAAGATTTTTAACAGTTCAACTGTAGGTTGTACTATTGAAACTCCTGTAAATGTTTTTGGTTTTGTAATTTTTCGGTTGCTTTATAATCATACTTAAATAAGTTCACAAAATTTCTTCACACTTGTATGCCATGAAAATTATTTCAGAGAAAATTTTTAAAAGCTATACTGTATTTCATTAGCTATTGTAAGTCTTGAATTCTTTCTCTACTGTTGATTATTTACATTAATTTTAAACATTATATTGAGGGTAAGTAACATGTTTATGTATGTTTTATATTTATGTTGCTTGCTTAATATAATTAGTTATGGATTTTAATCCTTCTAAAGTCCTTTTTAAAATTTTGTCATAATCCAGCCATTGCTCAGTGTATTTACTTCAGTAGACTTTGAATATTTATGCCTTATGAATTATTACAGGTGTGAAAGAAGGGTTTTCTTTTTTGGAGGGAAAATGGTTTCTTTGGTTTGTTTTTTTGAGATAGTCTCTTGCTATGTAGTGCAGGCTGGCTTTGAACTCACAGAAATCTTCTTGCTCAGCCTCCCCAGTGCTGGGATTACTGGCATGCACCATCGTGCCTGGTGATAAGAAGGAATGGTTTTAATAATAAATTATTTGTAATCTTGTATAGTTTGTCTTTTAAAGATTGATATTCATAGCAAGTCATGGAAGAACTTAAATTATTTTAATATCATTTTGCTGTAGACAGAAATTGTGGAAGGGGAGGAACATGATCACACAATAACAAGCCGCATAAACCTGGTAGACCTGGCAGGCAGTGAACGCTGTTCTGCAACCCATACTAGTGGAGATCGACTAAAGGTAAAAGAAATGCTAATCTCATTCTTTTTTTTTTTTTTTAAGTGAAATTTTGTTGTGTGGCTCAGGTTGGTACCGAACTGGACTTAAGTGATCCTCCTGCCTCACTGTCCTGAGTAACTTGAGGTGCGAGGCCACCACCTGCTTTGCTCTTCTTGTTTTAATGAAATTCCAGGGGGCACTGTTTTCATGAGAGTACAAACTGAATACACTTGACCAAAAAAAGTATCGTTAGCTGTAGCTTTCTAGACTATATTGTTGTGGTTTAGAGTATATACTTTTTGGTTATGATTACTTTTTAGAGAAATAAATTTCAAGTCATAAGAAAGTTTATGGAAGAAAGTGTTTACTCAGTAATTATATTAGAGGAGAAATATATTTTGTGAAATAAATTGATTGCTCAAAAGTTAAGAAAAAACTTTCTTTTATCTTATATACAGGAAGGTGTGAGCATTAACAAGTCTTTGCTAACTTTGGGAAAGGTTATATCTGCCCTTTCTGAACAAGCAAACCGAAAGAGGATTTTTATTCCTTACCGTGAATCTGTTCTTACATGGCAAGTATCTTTTGAACTGTAAAAAATTATATAAAATACAATGAATACTATGAGAAACAGAATGAGAAATTGACTTTCTACAACTTTGGGATAGAGAAAAATGCTTAGTAATATGAATTCCAGAGCCAAACTGCCTTGTTTGAATCTCAGCTTTCCATCTTAGAAGCTCTGTGACTGGAAAAATCACTTAATAGTTTAGCCTTTTTTTACTTGTAAAATAGGGATTATTGTCAATACCTACCTTTTATGATTATAGAGAGGATTAAATTATTAATGTAAAAGTCCTTAATATATCTATGTACTATATGAATCTAAAACAACCAGTCTTACTAGTGTTTAACTTGTTTCATATTATCAAACATTATTGTGTATACAGTCAAATTGAATATTTTTTGTCTGTAAGACAATGGTTACACATAAGTACTCGATGAGTTTTTTAATTAGTGAATATATTGTTAAAATTAAACTCATATGCATTTAATATTCACTTCTTATAAGCATTAATACACACATATAGTCTCCAAACTTACAAGTGTTTGACTTAAAACTTTTCTATTTTATCATGCTGTGAAAATGGCACATTTTGAGTAGAAAGTTACTGGGATGTAAATTCAGCTTAACTATAGGAGCATCTGCATATAATCGTGACAAGGACTATATCTTTAACAATAATTTATCTTTTTAATTGAAAATATAATTATTTATAATTAAATCATTATAATTTTAATTATAATATATTTCTTCCCTTATAACCTATAATAGAAAATCTGTTTTATTTTCCTTTGAAAAGTTAAGATAGTGAAATTCATTCTACATTTTTTTTCTAAAGTAGAATTTTACACATATTCAACACAGAATTTTTATTTATAAGTCTGTTCATCATTTTCAGCATTTATTGAGTACCTGGCTTAAAGACTATGGTAAGGATGATGAAGACATATAGTCCCTTTCTTGAAGTAGCCCATAGTCTCTTAAGGGGAGAAGTATCTTACTAACTTTTTGATAGTTAGGCATGTTTTAAACCTCTGCATAGATTATTCATAGATTAAAAGATATAAGAGAAAATTGTTGTAACCTAATTAAAACACCATTATCCTGTTCTGTAAGTGTCGTTACCCTGACCTATGTTTCAACTCTCGTTTCTTGTGAATTATCCCCTTCCAGAAGAGCAATTTGGTCCCATAACCCACTGACCCTTTATTGTAAAACATTTGCTGACCACTGATTGTAAAACACTCGGTCCCAGGACCAATGGGTCCTGGTTGTAAAACATTTTGTAGAGCTTAATACCCTTTTTGTATAAGCTCCCTCCCTTTTCTCTTCTTTGCGGTTTCACCTTTAAAAAACCCCTCTGTAACCTAACCTGGTTATGCAGCTCTGCAGATTCCAGGCTGTGTCGCTGGGTACCAGCTAAAATAAAGCGTCACTTTTTAAAGACGTCTTGCCCCGTTTTTTGAACAACATTTTGGGGCCTTGTTTTTTTGGGGTACAACAAAAAATAAAGTGTTTATGCGATCTAAAAATAGCTATAGCTGAGTGTGGTGGTGCATGCTTGTAATTCTAGCACTGGGGAGACTGAGGTAGGAGGACTGTTGTGAGTTTGAGGTCAACCTGGGCTACATACTGAACTCAAGGCCAGCTGAGCTACACAGTTAGACCTGGTCTCAAAAAGAAAAAAAAAAGCTATACATACCAAAGAAGTTTTAGGTGGTATTTGAATGAAGAGAATAACACTGCATTATATATTAGTTTGGTTTTTGCTTTTGAGAATGATTATTGGGTTGTTATAGAAGCAATCTAATTATGAATTTTTTCCTTGAAGGTTATTAAAAGAAAGTCTAGGTGGAAATTCAAAAACTGCAATGATTGCTACAATAAGTCCTGCTGCCAGCAACATAGAAGAAACATTAAGCACACTTAGATATGCTAACCAAGCTCGTTTGATAGTCAACATTGCCAGAGTAAATGAAGATGTGAATGCTAAGTTAATTCGAGGTGAGTATTTTTCTCAAAATTAAAAATCTATTTTGCTATAGTTGAGACTCGCTTATTAATTTTAGTCTTAAGTAATTTTCAGAAAGTCAAAGAGTTTTTCCCATACCTATTTATAATTCCACTCTTTTTTTTTTTTTTTTTTTTTGGTACCGGGGATCAAACTCACAACCTTGTGTTTTCCAGGCAGGCACTGATGCTGCTGAGCTAACTCTCCAGCCCTATAATTCCACTCTTAAAATATGCAAATTTTCAGAAAAGCAATATAAAGGGGTCACAACAAGCATAAAAAAAATATAGTCTTTTTTTTTTTCCCTCAAAAATGAACCAAAAAAGTATAGTCTTAAGTGCATGCAGCAAAATTAACAATAGAAGTGTTTGTTTTTCCCTTCTTTCTTAGTAGCTAGGACTACAGGTGTTCACAGCTATGCTCAGAAATCCTCTCATCCCGTTTAGCAGCAGAAGGCAGTAAACACTTCAGAGGTACGAGACAAGAGTCAGTTGAGTTGGTTTTCCTAACCATAGTCCATTCTTTTCCCTTTGAATCCCTTCTTGTTTTACCAATTGGACTGTTTTCATTAAATATTTCAGCTGGAACAATCTTTTCATTTTTCTTTTCTTTATGTGCCGGGGGTTGAACCCAGAGCTTTCTCACTGAGCTGTAGCTCTACTCCTTTTTTATTTTTTATTTTGAGAAGATGTTATCATTGAGTCACTAAGTTGACCAGGCTGAACTTGAACTAGACATCCTCCTGTGCTGGCTCTCCAGAATGCCAGGATGGCAGGGGTATACCACCAAGCCCCACTTGTCCTATGTGTCTTTAAGAGTAAGATTTGCCTAGAATAATTTCAGTTTATGTCTGTTGTTCCAGTACTATATAATTAACATATATAATGCTCTCTTTACCTCAGAATTTTCTCACTTTGGAGAGTATGTTATATATCCATTCTGTTATGAAGGGGATTCATTAATATGGGAGCACATTTGACTTGGAAGAGATTTATAAATCATGTAATAAAATAAAGCTGGTTTCTTCAAGTATTTCATTTAGTAATATTAACAACTTCAAGTGAAACAAAAGATTGGATGAATATGCTTATTATGGAAATTGTATATCAAATGTTGTTAATCATGCATCTTTTTATAAATCTTTAGAACTGAAAGCAGAAATTGAAAAGCTAAAAGCAGCTCAGAGAAACCATCCAAATATTGACCCTGAACGATACAGGCTCTGTCGACAAGAAATCACATCCTTACGAATGAAACTCCATCAGCAGGAGAGAGACATGGCAGAAATGCAAAGGTGAACATAGTCACCCCTTAAATGCTAAACATGTTGCTATAGAATTAGAGGACTGAGAGGGACCTTACGAGGGTGCTGAGTCCATTTTTCTGTCTATTTTCCATATGAATAGAACAGCCTAATTTGAGACTATCACATTTTAAATGTTACTAGGAAGTTTCTTAAACTTTATTGGTCATCTCTGGTTATCAGTGATGTATATGTAGATGTTTTAACTATTCTTTGTTTTTGGAAAGAGTATGGAAACAAAAGTTTGAACAAGCTGAAAAAAGAAAACGTCAAGAGACAAAGGAATTACAGGTATCATTTTAACTTTCTAAATTGATTTGGAAATAAGAAATACACTAACATGTAAATTAAATTTTACAAATACTATATACCAACTTTGCACAAAACAGTGTCATAAGGAGGGATTGTAAAGAATTGTCAAGATCAAGGTTGTGATACTTAAAGTATATAAAGTATCACTATAAAGTATCACTTATAAGCTGGTTGGAAAGTTAAAGTATAGACAAACTGTCTTGATATAGTTACTTTGCTCCCATAATTATATATTAAATGTCTGTTGTGCCAGAAACAATGAAGGGAGACCAAGATGAGTATCTAAGTTCTAACTCTCAGATCACTAGTAATCAGAAGAGTGAAATGTGTATGATTTCATTAGGTGGAACTATATGACTTTTTTTAAATAGGTTTTTTTAAATAGGTAAACAAATTCTATTCATTCTATTGTAATTAAGAGTATCTAAAAGAAAAGCAGGAGAGATGGGAATAAATAACTTTGAATTGAAGAGAATATTATCAAGGAGGACTTCAAAGAGAAAGAAATGACTGAGCAAAGTTTTATATGGTGCAGAGAAATTTGCTTAGTCAAAATGTTCTAAGTAAAGGAAAACCATATTTAAAAAACATGGAGGTACAACACAGTTTGGATGCCAAAGAATAAAGACATTTCATGTAGTTGCAAATTAAGGCTGGTGCAGAGTTGACACTGGAACAAGATACAAGATTCAGGTGATGATGTGGTGAGAAATTTAAGGAGTTGGGAGAGAGTTTGGGTGGGAGAGAACTGAGATGAGCAGACTTTTCAAAAGGTTCTTCTGGCAAAAGTGTGGGAGATGAACTTGAGTAAGGAAAAGCTTGATGACAGGGAAATTGTTAGGAAGTTGCTGCTGTGGTTACAAGCAAGAGAGAATGAGACGTTGGAGTAAGGTAATAGCCATAGGAATGGGTAGGAGAGAAGTTAGATTAAACAAAGAGAAAAGGGGTAAAATTGTTAGGATAAGGAGTTATTTTTAGATACAGGTATGGAGAAAAACAGAAAAGTCAAGAATGACTCCCAGGTTTCAGAAATGTGAGCACTGCATTGTGAAATTGTGAAGTCTTTGTGGTGGTGGAGAAAAAACCCATATGACAATGGGTAGAGGGATGACAGAGATGGAATAGAGAGCCACACAAAGGAGCTACAGTATTTGGTAATGTACATTTTGAAAACTTGGGGAGAGAGACTACAAGACTGAAGGCAAGTTCTGGGTTTTATTTTTTTGTTTTGTTTTTTGCGCTCCTGGAGATTGAGCCCAGTCTGCTTGAGCTACATCCCCAGCTCTTTTATGTTTTGAGATAAGATCTTGCTAAATTGCTCAGGCTAAGCTTGAACTCATGATCCTCCTACTTCAACTTTCCAAAGTGCTGTGATTTTAGGTGTGTGCCACTGGGCCCAGCTTGTTTGTTTTTGTTAAAAGATGCAAAGTTCTTGAATATTTTTTATAGAAATTAAAAAACTTTTATGAAACAAGATTGTAAAGAAGATTGAGGAAGATAAGTCAAGAACAAAACGTATTTGTAGTTGTAGTCAGAAACGTATTTCAAATGATTGGTAGGGTATTTCAGAGAAAGGAGGAAAAACTTGGAAATAGCCAGTCTATTTTTTACCAAAAACTCTTAGAAAATGTAGAACTTGAGGTGGGCTTTGAAGTTTGGAAAAGATTTTGATAAGCAGAGATAAAGAAGAAAGCATTCTAGGAAGGGAAACTTTTATGAGAATAAATGTGAGAAAATTTAATATGCCCTCAGAAGAGTGTGTGATTTATTGTGACAAGCTGTTTATTTAAGGTCATGCAATTGGAAACATATATTATGATTAGTTTATTACGGACTTGATTTACAGGTCAAGTAATTTCAGTTTCATCCCTATAGGAATGGGAAGCTTTTTATGTGTTTGGTCAGGAAACTGACACTTTGGAAGTACTCTTTTAACAGAATTAATCTATGCAAAAGAAATTGTTGACAGGGTGACACAGGAAGCTGCTACAATGGGAGTTCTCGTGATAGTTACTAAGAGCCTAAATTAAGGATGACAATGAAAATGCAAGAAAAAGAATTGTTCCTTCAATTGATCAATAAGAATAGACACAATTTGTTGATACATGAGTAGATTGAAGCTGATGAAGGTTAAAGAAAGATCAATAGAACTCTAGGAGTCTAAAAGAATGATGATAATTATTTATTTGATGGTGGGGATTAAATTCAGGGTCTCATGCCTGTGAAACACACACTCTGCCACTAAACTACAACTCTTCCAAGAAACCTTTAATTTATTAAGGCTTCACAGATCATTCTAATAGTATAGATGTTGTAAGTGAATTTAATAATTCCATGTTGTAGTTCAGATTAATTTTTTTCCGATTTCTACTAGAAAGCAGGAATTACATTTCAAATGGACAACCATTTGCCAAACCTTGTTAATCTGAATGAGGATCCACAACTATCAGAGATGCTACTATATATGATAAAAGAAGGAACAACTACAGTTGGAAAGTATAAACCAAACTCAAGCCACGACATTCAGTTATCTGGGGTGCTGATTGCTGAGGATCATTGGTATGTTACTCTTTTGAAAGTCGGGGTGCCTATTTTCATTAGACTTCCATTTCTTTTTTAATTAAATTTATTGGAATGTTTTATATATACATAATGATTATATTCATCATAGAGAGTTTGTACCTGTATATGATATATCTTGATTCCTTTTTTTCTCCTTATTTCTCCCCTCCCTTCAACTCCTCTTCCTCTCTTTGTTTACAAAAACTGTTTCCATTTTATCCTCCTTCTATCATTTTTTTCCTTTTCCCTTCCTTCCTCTCCTGTTCCCCTCTCCCTAGTTGCTCTTTCTTTTTGAACAGGTTTTTCCTATTTCACAATATCTGTTGGACATTTTGGTCCTTGCTTAACACTTTCAATTTCTCACACCTAGGAGAGGTATGATATTTACACAAGTGTCCAGTTTATTTCACTTGAGAGTATGGTATCAAGGTTAGAAATGTCTCAAGTTCATCCTTTATAACTGAGTAGTACTCCATCACATATATAAAAAGACATCTTTTCTATCCATTCCTTGGTTGATGAGCATTTGGGTTGTTTCCAAGGTTTAGCTATTACAAACTGTGTTGTTGTAAACATGGGTGCATATATATCACTGTGGTATGATGTTTTTAATTCTTCTGGGAAGATGCCGAGAAGAGGATAGCTGGACCAAATGGGACCTCTAGTCCCATTTTCATGGAATCTCCACACCGATTTCCTGATTTCCACAGTGGCTGCGCCAGTCTATACTCCTAGCAGCAGTGGAGAAGGGTTCCTTTTTCTCCACAGCACCTCTAGCATTTGTCATTGGTTGATTTCTTGATGACAGGCTTCTTTTTTTGAGTGAGATGGAATCTCAGCATTGTTTTAAGTTGCATCTCTCAAATGACCACTGATGTTGACTATTTTTTCATATATTTGCCATTTGTATTTCTTTATCTGAGAAGTATGTATTCATCTCAGATGCCCATTTTTAGAGTGACTCTTAAGTTTGGTGGGTCTGATTTTTTTCAATTCTTTTTTTTTTTTTTGAAATAAGGTCTCATTGCACCGTTCAAATTGGCTTTGAACTCATGGTAATCCTGCCTCAGCCTCTGGAGTGCTGGGATTATAGTCGTATACCATCATGTCCAGCTTCAATTTGTTACGTGTTCTAGATATTAATCCTTTGTATGAGGGACACCTAATTTAAAATTTTTCCACTCTGTAGGTTGTCTTTTCACTCTGTTAGTGATTTTTTTATGCAGTACAAAAGCTTTTTAATAAGATGAGATTCAAGTTTTGATTCTTTATATTATGTCCTGTGCAATCAGGATTTTGTACCTGAAATCTTTGCCTGTACTTATGTCTTCAAGAGTTCTGCCTATTTTCTCTTCTAGTAGGTTTACTGTTTTTGTTTTAATATTTCAATCTTTTGATACATTTTGATTAGACATGGGTCTAGGTTTCATCTTTGCCCTGTGAAAAGCCAGTTTTTCCAGAACGAAAGAGCCTATCTTTCTTCCAGTGAACTTGTTGGCCTCTTTCTCAAAGATAAAGTTGGGCTGGGATTTAACTCAGTGGCTTAAGTGCCAGTTGGTAAACACAAGGTTGTGAGTTTGATGTATGGTACAAAAAAAAAAAAAAAGATAAGGTGACAGCGTGTTTAGAGTTGTTTCTGCATCTTCTGATCTGTACCATTGATCCTCAGGTATGTGTTTTGCTAGTGCGATACAATTCAGGCTGGCCTTGAACTTACTATGTAGTCCAGGCTGGTCTCAAATCTGCAAGTATGCTCCTTCCTCAGGCTCGCAAGTACTGGGATTACAGACATGGGTTGCCATGCTGACTTTATCACAGTAGCTTTGTAGTATAATTTCAAGCCAGGAATTGTGGTGCCTCCTGCCTTGCCTTTATTGCCAAGAATTGTTTTTGCTATTCTAATTCTCTTCTGGTTCCAAATGAATTTTAGGAATATTTTCCCTACTTCTGTGAGGTATGCTAATGGTATTTTGATTGGGATTGCATTAAATCTGTATAATACTTTTGGAAATATGACCATTTTCATTACATTGATTCTCCCTACCCATGAGCAAAGTAATATCTAACTCTAATCCTAACCCTGACCCTAAAGACAGGAACATATCCCCAAAGAATTAAAAGTTCAGTAAGTGACTAGAAAGGCCTTTGCTTGCTTTGAACTCTGTACTTCCTTTTTTAGTATACTGATCAATGTTTTTCTTACTATTCCATAAACTTCATGACATGTGATTTCTTATCTGTTTTTATTGATGACATACATCTGGCTGTAGGGGCTCAATGAATAAAAGACTTCAGTACTCATTAATGTGTGTATCAAGTATTAGATGAGTACCACATACTGGAATTCTCTTCTAGCTTATTTCTAATAAAGTGCTTCTTCAAGGATTCTACCAAGTAAGCTGAGCTTGGAAGGATGGTAGAGATAAGGATGAGGACATCCTATGTTGAAGGAGTGACATAAAGGAAGGAAGGAAGTCCATGTTATGGAAAATTTAGGGTGCTGCAATGGCTGATTGGCTGTGAAGTGGAGTTCTTATGGGGAAACAGTGGAAGATGAGGGAGATAGTGGTTGAAGCCAGACTATGTAGGGTGCTAGGACATGGAATTTCAAAGATAAATAGAAGTAGGAGGGGAAAGGAATCAGAACAAGTAGACATTACATAATTTTTTTCCTGGGTAAGATCCTGGACTGGTGAGAAAGATACACTGCGTAAGGGTAGACTTTTCCTGGCATACTTTTTCTCTAGTGTGTTAATTGAACTATTTTTCTCAAAATACATATTTTCTTAATCTTTGGTTAAGAGATCTTTAGTTAAGACTTAGCTTTTACTGCAGTTTTCTCCTTCTATATACTTAGTCCAAAGATGAATTATACTTTTGACTCTCTCTTATTCTGTGAGTAAAAAGACTGTGTGGAAAGTGTGGCATGTATAGCTGATTTTCCAGTGTCATCTAATGGATTAGGGTTCATTTAATTAGATTAAGTGGAGTGTGCTTTAATCTGTACTTCTCCTCCCTTGATAATACCTCACTTTTCATGGAGGAAAAATGTTATTCTTTCTGTTATTAAAGCTCATTTATAAAACTAGAAACTTACAAAAATGAAAATACTTAAAACTGTTCCACTCATAAGAAATCAGTATCAGTATTTTAATATTTTTTCTTGAGTTTTTTTTCTGTGTATTTTTTTTCATTTTGGTGTCAAATTTTTGATTTGTATTTAGAAATTATAATCAAAATACATAGAATGGAAATTCTTCCCATCACTGTTGGATGAAATTTTCTTTCTTTCTTTCTTTCTTTTTTTTTTTGTCTTTTTTGTTTTTATCGGTACCAGGGATCGAACTCACGACTGCCTGCTTACAAGGGGCTGAGTGAGCTAAATCCCCAGCCCCTGGATGAAATTTCTAGTGAGGCCATGTTTTATTCATACAATTTTAATATCTTGTTGAGGAAAATAAAATCTAGGTTGTTAGTGCTACAAATTGATCTGAACATCAAAAGATTAACTCAGGAAGGATTATCTCATATTGCCTTTTTCTTATTTTTTAGTGTATTGTAACAGTGTTCTTCTTATTTTAACAGTACTATCAAAAATTTTGGGGGGACAGTGAGTATTATCCCAGTTGCTGAAGCAAAGACATACGTGAATGGGAAACATATTTTGGAACCCACAGTGTTACATCATGTAAGTGGATGGGTTTCACAACATAAGAAACTCATTTTGGGCGAGTCTTTCAGTTTCTTTGAGTCTGAGTTTTTTGTATTTTGTAAGATAAGGGAGTTGAACTGGATTAAAAACTTGGCATTTCAAAAATCCTAACTCTATTCATTCTTTACCTTTCTATATAGAGAGACAAAAGTTACATTACTGTGAACCAGTGCCAGACACTGGCAGCAACATTATGTGACTTTGCAGTTGGGCCAGACAGGGTTAAAATCCTGCCTCTGCCATTTACTTTGTGATATTTGGCAACTAGGTGATTGAATATCACCCATTCAGGACACTTTTTAGAGCAGTACTAAATATATCAGGAGAATAGGCATAAAGTAGTCTGTTGGAGACAAAACAAAACATATGATTATTCTTTATGTGGTGAGGGTAGGGGTAGTGAGGATTAAATTAAAAAATTTGTTTGTAGTTTTTAGAATATTGCCTGAAATTAGTAAGCTCTCAATGCATGTCTAATGTTATTTAGGTCTGTGCTTTTCAGTTTCCCCTTTCCAAAAATTCGGATAATATATGTCTCATTGGGTTGTTGTGAGATACAATAATATTATATATGTGATATTTAACACAGTGTTTGGCATATAGAAAGTAATGGTAGTTGCTATGATTTTTATGCTTATTATTAATAATGTAACATTACTTGGACTTGCTTAACATAATAATTTTTCTCATGTAACTATTTTGGTTCAGACTCATAGCAAGTAAATTTTTTTGTGTGCTTTAGGGTGATCGAGTGATTCTTGGTGGAGATCATTATTTTAGATTTAATCACCCAGTTGAAGTCCAAAAAGGAAAAAGGCTATCTAGTAGAGATACTTTCATAAGCGAGGGTCCTAAAGACTTTGAATTTGCTAAAAATGAGTTACTCATGGCACAGAGATCACAGTAAGTATTATTGTTGATATAAAAAATAGTAAGTATATGAGAGAAGCATATAACAGAATTAATCACATTATATAAGGCTTTAGTAGTTAAGTCTTTTGGTTTCTAGTGATGTGATTTTTTTCCCCTCATGATACATTCATTGATTCAATAAGCATTTATTGAGCAACTAATATGTAATCTGTCTGTATTAATTGCTAGGGGCACAAAGAGTAATAGTAATTGAAACTTAGCCCCTACCCTGGAGGAATTCATCATCTCATGGAGCTGACAGAGTCCTATACTGAGTGATGCGGAAGCTTCTTAGGTGACATCTGATCCCCACCAGAGGTCAGAGAAGGTTTGTAGGGGATGAGAAGATGGCCCTGTAGCAGATTCCAAAGAGGCATTAGACGTTACCCTGGGAAGAGTGAAGAAATGTGTATTTGTTTTTGTTTTTTGCCCCAGTTTTAGTTTATGCTATATTGTAGGATCTCTGGTTTGTCGATATCCTTAGAGTGTTGACTTTATCTTAAAGGAAGGAGAACTTTTAAGGAATTTTAAGCAGACATGACACACTCATGATTATGGCACATTTTTAGAGAAACTATCATGACTACAGTCTGGAGAAGGGATTAGAGGAAGAGCAAATATACAGGCTGTGAATGCAACTAAGAAACTAGGGGGAAAAGGTAAATATAAATGTAAAGTAGTTGGATAGGAGAGAAATATAAGAGATAAAAGTCAGCAAGACTTACTGACTAAAGAGGCCTAGAGAAGAAAGAATGACAAACAAGTGTACTACTTTGGATCATTTTTTTAAAAGCCTGAAAATAAAATGTACCATTTTATACAGTTTGGTGGCTTTTTAATACTTTCACATTTTTGTTCTACCATCAGCACTGTGTACTTTTCATGATCCCAAACTGAACTTGCATTCATTAAGCAATAGCGCCTCATTCTCCTGTCTCCCTAGCTCTGGTAACCACTAGCATCTTTCCTATAACAGTTTTATTCTTTCTTAGAATTGGGAATGGGAATCTCTATGCAGTGCAAGTCTAAAACATTTGTTTTTGTTGGGAAGGAAAGGTATTTTGTTACCTGTAATTGTAAATGTTTTTTCTCCTGTGTATTGAGAAGGTGATAAAGCTAACTAATATTTTGACTTGGTAACTGTCAAATTGTTATAAAAGTTGAAAATTATGCTACAGGCTCTGTCAGCTCTTGTGCCTTTAAAGTCTGCCACAACCCAATGCGGCTCCTGAGGTTCTTGGGGTTAAGGACTAGGGAGAGAATGAGAAAAATAAAAGACAAAACTGGGGTCAGGTGGAGCACTTATCCTCCTGATGGGAGGAAAGGAACTGCTTAACCACTGTAGCACCTTTATTTATATACTGGGAAACATGATGTCAATTTCAGCCCTTTTGCCTAGCAACCCATTGCTTGGCAGGCCTGGGTCCCTTGCCTTCTTGGTGCTGGAACAACTCAGTTACATAGCTTGTTTTGGTCTTTGTTTTTTCTGGGCTGGCCTTGCTTTAGCCCTACACATGTGATCAATCTCCAACTTCAGTGGCTCCCTACAAAAGTCATATCCGTATTTTTTTAAAATAATGTGACCCAAACACAACAGTTATTGATATATAAGGTATAGTGCTTTCTCTAACCATTATGACTTAAATATAGAATATCCTTATTTTGTGTTTCCTATATTGTTAACTATAATATTTACTGCATTGTTTACTATCATATGTTTATATAACTTACTAAGCATTAGAAAAAATTATTCATTTAAATATCAGAGATTTACAAGAACAAGTTGGAAATAAGCAAATTTTCATGCCATTGTATGTTTTGTCAATTATAGAACCAATGGCAATTTTAAGAACACTGTTGATATAATATAAGAAAGTGTAAAAGTATGTTCAATAGAAAACACTTTAGTATGATTAGAAGCTGTTTGATACATAAGGAATTATTCACAATGTAACCTGTCAAAATCTTGCTTCTTTGTAGACTTGAGGCAGAAATAAAAGAGGCACAGTTGAAGGCAAAGGAAGAAATGATGCAAGGGATCCAAATTGCAAAAGAAATGGCTCAGCAAGAACTTTTTTCTCAGAAAGCAGCATATGAAAGCAGAATACAAGCACTAGAAGCAGAACTGGTAACATGCAGAAATGCGTTTAACCTCTTGATAGTGCAGCCCAAATGATGTGTTGCCTTAACAGTAACTGGGACTCTTGCGAAGTGCGAGTCTAACAGAGATTTAGGCAGTGAGAGCCACAGTGAATACTGGCCTTCCTTGATTTTACTTCAAGAAGCAAGTTGGGAGTAGACAGGGCTATTGAAAGGGGGAGAAAATAGAGGGGCTTCTCTGCGGGACTGGCAGCCTTCTATTCCCAGAATCCATTTTAGAGAAGATACTCTAAAACAGTTAACTAGTGGCATTTATTTTTAGTTAGATGAGCTAGCCTGAATCAAGTGGAGGAGCTATAGCCCTATTCTTCTATTAGTGATTTCTTGTGCATTGATTTAAGGAACAGATTTGTATTTTGGGGGATATTACATATAAAAAATTGCTGTGCATTTTTGCCTCAACTTCGTATTAATGTTCTCTAAAGAAAGAAGAATCTCAAAGAAAGAAAATGCAGGAAATAAATAACCAAAAGGCTAATCATAAAATCGAGGAATTAGAAAAGACAAAACTGCATCTTGAACAGGAAGTATATGTCAATAAAAAGCGATTAGAAATGGAAACTTTGGCTACAAAGCAGGTAACTTCATTTTATAGTTTGTTTTTTCCATTCTGACAAAAAGGTGAATTTTTTTTAAAGCATTGTAGTGTCTTCATAGAATTGAGCCAAGTCTGAATCTTTAAATGAGAACTGTTTTTTACTGAAGCTTACATCCTGGTACTGCTCACAGAACCGCTCATCAGCACAAAGATATTTAGGAAGAAACAGAACGCTTATTTCCAAATGGGTTCCATTCTACTCCTCTTGTTTGTACATCTACTACTGTCATATCTTCTGTCATGCCAAATAAAGTAAATAAATGAAATGGCCAGGGTGTGACTTGTAGCAGTAGGAAGGGCACAGCGTGTCTTGGGTCTATCCTGAACTGTGTCTGACTGTGAACGAACAGCAAGTAGGCTTTTTGCTAAGAGAACTCACAGCATGGCATTCAATACCTCAGTCTTAGGAGCTCACACACCTACTTCTGTCTTCTCATAGAGGACAGAGGCAGCTTTCTAGGGCTGACTTACATTAATCAAGTCACAAGATTGAAGGTACATCCCAAATGTTAGGATCTTTAGTTACTTGACAGTATTTTTAGGCATTCTTTATGTTAGTGGTTCTCAAACAGTGGTCTGTGGACCAGTACTGTCAGTGCTAACACTACTGTTGAAAATGTAGGTTCTCGGATCATTCCAGAGCCAAACCCTGGGGTGGAATTGGAAACCCTGGGGTGGAGCCCGGAGTCCGATTAACAAGGACTGTAGGAGATACTGATGAATGATCAAAGCTGAGGGCCACCATTTTAACCTCTGCTTTGACGCTATCTTAATCTTAAGGTTTTACTCCCAAATGACAATTTTATTTCCCTTTTTTTAAGTTTGTGGCTTGAGGGAAGTCAGAGATGAGGGTAGGGGAAGAAGAAAAATACTCCTAGTAATCCCAAAGTACTGGTACCTATGATGTAGTGATGGCACTACTAGTCTGCTCTATGACATAGACCACCTCAGAATTTTAGGAGAAAGACAAGCTGTTTAAATGTTTAAAAACAGTATTAGTGGGGTGTTATAATGCCTTTTTGTGTCAAATGTTTTTGTGTCTTATTTAGTTAGCATATGTTCTTTAGTGTGCCCTTTTTGAGCAGTTTTTATTTTTCTCGGAAGGTTTTTACTTTATATTAATGAGAAGAAAAAGATTATTTTAAAAATCCTTTTATTTTTTAATTTTTTTTTTGTCTTTTTCCTTTTTATCGGTACCAGGGATCAAACTCACGACTGCCTGCTTGCAAGGCAGATGCTTATGCCGCTGAGCTAAATCCCCAGTCCCCTTAAAATGTTTTAAACTTTTTTATTGGTGCATATTTATAGTATATAATGTTTACACTCCTTGGTGGGGTTGGCACATAATACATCTTAATTCTTTTTCTCATCCCCTCTCTCCCTCCATCTCTTAATCCCTTTCCTGTTTGAGAAACATCTGTCTCCTTACTTTCTACTACCTTTTATTTTGCTTTTTATTTGTATTTTGGATTTCTCATGTGAGAGAAATCGTGGGATATTTGAGCCTGTGTGTCTGATTTATTTCAGTTAACATAATGGACTGAGGGTACATTCATTTTCCTACAAATAACTCAATCTTATCTTTCTTTATGACAGAGTAGTACTCTATTGTGTACAAATACCACATTTTCTTTATTCATTCATCTGTTGGTGAGACATAGGTAGCTTCCAAGATTTACCTGTTATGAATTGTTCTGCTAGGGATGTGAGTATGCATGTATCTCTATAATACAATGCTTTTAACTTTTTGGGTTAGATAACCATGAAAGGGAATATTTGGGTCAAATAGAATTTTTTAGTTTCAGTTTTTCAAGAGTCTCCTTGCCGATTTCCATAACGGTTGTACTAACTTACGTTCCCATCAGCAATGTAAAAGGATTTTTAATTTTTTTTAATCCATTTTATTTCAAAGAGGAAAAAAAAAAGCAATTTCAAAACACAACAATTGGGACAATGACACGAACCTGGCACATTGCCATCCCAAAATTGGTCACCCAGAGTGCAGGACATCTGAATTCAATTGTCGGAACAGTACCAGTGCAAACCTTTCTCTTCAGTGAACTCAGAGAATCAATACTATAACTATGTTAACTATGTATTCATCTACATCTGTCTGTCTGTCTGTCTGTCTGTCTGTCTATGTATCTATCTATGGTTTCTTTTAACTTCTCACACTAGTGAGACAATACAATGTTTACACATGCCTGTCTCATTTATTTCACCTATGAATATGGTATCAAGTTGCTTCTATTTACCTATAAGTCTCAAGTTTGTCCTTCATTATGGCTAAGTAGTACTCCATTGTATAAAAGTACAGCATCTTTTTTATCCTTTTCTCAGTTGATGGGTATTTAGGTTGTTTCCAAGATCTAGCTATTACAAATTGTTGCTGCTATGAGTATCGGTGCACATATATTGCTGTGGTACAATGTTTTTAATTTTTCTAGGAAGATGCCCAGAAAGGGAATAGCTGGGTCAAATGTGATCTCCAATCCTAGAGTTTTGAGGACTCTCCACACTGATTTCCACAGTGATTGCACCTCTCTACACTCCCAGCAACAGTGGAGAAGGGTTCCTTTTTCCTCACAGTCTATCCAGCATTTGTTGTTGGTTGATTTCTTGATAATAGTCATTCTTTCTGGGGTCAGGTGGAATCTCGTGTTGTTTTAATTTGCATCTCTCGAAAGACCAGTGATGTTGAACATTTTTTATATGTTTAGTTGCTGTTTGTATTTCTTCATCTGAGACGTGTGTATTTATCTCAGATGTCCATTTTTGGATTGGGTCTTTAAATTTGGGAAATCTGATTTTCTTGAGTTCTTTATATATTCTCAATAATAATCTTTTTCTGAGGACCAGCTGGCAAACATTTTCTACCACATCGTGGATTGTATCTTCACTCAGTTGGTGGTTTCTCTTGCTGTGCACTTTTTAGTAAGATGAGATTCCAGTTTTTGATTTGTGTGACAGTTCTTGTGTAATCAGAATTTTGTTCATAAAGTCTTTGCCTATGGGCTGGGGATTTAGCTCAGTGGCTTAAGTGCCTGCTGGTAAGCGCAAGGTCATGAGTTCGATCCCTAGTACCAAAAAAAAAAAAAAAAAAAAAAAAGTCTTTGCCTACACCAATGTCTGCAGTAGTTTTACCTACACTCTTCCAGAAAGATGTAATGTTTGTGTTTTAATATTTAGATCTTTGATCCATTCTGAATTTAGTTTAGTGCATGGTGAAAGATATATGTCCAACTTTAATCTTTAGCATATGCAAAGCCAGTTTTTCCAGCACTGTTTACTAAAAAAGCTGTCTTTCTTCCAGTGAATGTGTTTGGCACATAAAGGGTTTCCTTTTGCCCACATCTTTGCCAACATTTGTTCTTATTCAATTTCTTGATGATGTCCATTCTTTCTAGAATGAAATGAAATCTCTTAGTATTGTTTAATTTATATTTTTCTAATGACCACCAAAATTGAGTATTTTTATATGCTTATTAGCCATTTATACTTCTAAGAACTGTCTGTTCGTTTTACTTTCCAGTTTTGTTTTGTTTTTGATTGGGTCTTTTATTTGGGGTAGGGGTCTAAATTTCTGTTTTTTTATATATTCTGGCTATTAATCCTCTACCTGAAGAATAGCTAGCAAAAAGTTTTTTTCCATTCTATAGGTTGTCCCTTCACTCTGTATCTTTTCACTTTGTATCTTTCACTCTGTATCTTTTGCTGTACAGAAGACTTTTAATTTGATATAGTCCCACTTGTTGATTCTTGGTATTATTTCCTATGCAAGCAGGGTTCTGTGAAGAAAGTTGTTGCTATGCCTGTGACTTCAAGAGTTTTACCTATTTTCTCTTCTACCAGGTTAAGTGTTTCTGTTTTAACACTTAAATCCTTGATCCATTTTGATTTAATTTTAGTACATGGTAAGAGGTATTAGTCTAGATACTAGTCTAAAATTAGTCTAAAATTTTCTGCATGTAGATAGTCAATTTTATCAACACAATTTATTAAAAATATTTTTTATCCAGTATATGTTTTTTACCCCCTTATCAAAAATCAAATCATTGAATGTGCTTGGTGTTATTTATGCATCTGTGTTGTGTTTCATTGATCCTCGTGTCTATTTTTATACTGGTATCATGCTGTTTTTATCACTTTAGCTTTGTAATATAACTTCAAATCTGGGATTGTGAGACCACATGCTTTGCTGTTCTGGGTCCAGAGGAAATAGATTATACCCTTAAAAATTCCTACTGATGTTATTGTAGGTAAACACATTATTAAGACATTTTATAAATAATTTGTAGGCCTTTTATGTTTAATAAAGTGTTAGCCATTTATACATAATGAAAATACTGTAAAATGAGATCCAATAATAGTGTGCTACCATAATCAATCTGGTTTTTTAAAAATTGATTTTATTGTAGGAAGTTAGAGTATGCAAAATGATATGGATATGTATATAAATAGTTACTGTAGTGATTTCAGTTAACATAACTATCATCTGAATCTGATTTTTCAATTTCTCTCTTTGCATCCTTATATATGTGTCTGTATAAATAAATATCTGTCAGGCTTTAGAAGACCACAGCATTCGTCATGCAAAAATTCTGGAAGCTTTAGAAAATGAAAAGCAAAAAATTGCTAAAGAAGTACAAATTCTACAGCAGAGTCGGAATAATAGGGATAAAAGTTTTACAAGTGAGTATATGTTTAACAGACATTTGCTAAAGTTAGGTATTGTTCTTATATATAATTACTAAAATGTTTATTAGTTGCCTTTATATATTTAAAATGGCTGCTTTTAGATATTGCTGAAAATATTTATGGTAAAATATTAAACTACACTTAGGGGTGTAGTTAAGTGGTAGAACGAGTATGTGCTTAGTTTGTGCAAGGACATAGAATGCAATCTCTAGCACTGCAAATAAACAGCACCCCCAGCAAACACACAAAAAAACCAAATAAAAAAACCACCCAACTGGGGATTTAGCTGAGTGGTGTAAGTGCCTGTCTGGCAAGTGTGAGGTTGTGAGTTCTATCCCTGGTACCAAAAAAAAAAAAGTCCTGAGAAAAAACCATCCAAAATCTTACATTTAAATTAGAAAGTAGAATTTTAAATTGTCTTCTCCTCTGCTCTCTCCTTCTCTCCTTCTTTCCTTTCTTTCTTCTTTCCCTTCCCTTTCTCTCTCCTTCCCCCCTCTCCTCATTATTTAAGACAGGTTTTTGCTTTGTAGTCCGGGCTGGCCTCAAACTCACTATATAGCCCAGGTTGGTTTTGAAACTGGAAATCTTCCTGTCTCAGATTCCCAAATGCTGGCCTTACAGAAGTGTGCCGTTGTATTTTAATGCCATTTTATTTTTATGTCCTATAGGATACCTGCTGACAAAATTTTTTTAAAAAGGATTACTTCTAGTGTGAGCAAGTCTTTATTAGAAATTAGGAAAAAGAAAAATACCTAATAAGTATGTTAGAAAAGCATTGTCTTTGGGGTTTTCTCTCTTAGAACATCTTTATCCTCTTGATAGCAATTTCAGTTTCTACCATTCTTGCAAATGAGAGACCTCATTTTATATGAAGAATATTTTATCTTGAGAACAGGGATTGAAAACAAATCACTCAAGTACCACTTTTATCTTTCTGGGCTATAGAGTTAAACCATTCATTTAAAATCATTTTTTTTCTAGGCTAGGCATGGTAGCACATGCCTGTAATTCCAACATTCAGGAGGCTGAGGCAGGAGGATTTCTGAGAATTCAAAGCCAGCTGGGACTACATAATGAGTTCAAGACCAGCCTGAACTACATAGTGAAACCTTGTCTCAGAAAAAAACAAATCATTTTGTCTGGAATTATTCTGTCTTGTGATGCATGTTAGTGATCATATATGTATTTTGAATCCTCTTTGTATGCTTTTATTAGTTCAGTCAAGTTGGAACTCCATGAAAGTCTCAATGATGATTCAGGAAGCCAATACCATCAGCAGCAAGTTAAAAAAACACTATGTTTTTGGCAGGTGAGTAGTTACTTATCCTGACTATAAAGCAGTTCTTTGTTTTAAACCAGTTGGCTGACGTGATTTTAAAGAAAGTCATTTTTCTAAAGTCTCTTATGTGGTACTCTTTTTTTTTTTTTTTTGCTTGCTGCTTTTAATAGGAAAGAGCTGGTATAAGAGACCCCAGTGACACTGCCTGGGAGTAAATGAGATTTCAACAAATAACAAGAATATATTTATAAGCAGAATAATTTTAGATATTTTAAGGATTTATAGATTTTTATTTTGACTTAAATTTCTCTTTATTTTGGCCCCAAAGATTGAAATATGCTATTCAGCTGTATCCCCATTCCTGCATTCCACTTTTTAAAAGAAATACATTTTTGTAGATTTTTTAAATTTAAAATATTTATATGTGAGAAATTATTTTTATGTAGTATGTATTAGATGTGTTTATTATTAAAATAAAAATGCTTCACATGGAATTATTTAATCAGTGGAGTGAATTTTTATGGACTTATTCAATTCCAGAAAACTCTGAGTATGAATGATGGTGTATATTTTGAGTAAGCATTTTTATTTGATTTTGTTTCAGGCATGATGCTCCAGATAAAGGTCATTCTGAGACATCTATTCGAGTTCGTAACCTGCAGCTTGGGGTCTCAACTTTCTGGAGTCTCGAAAAGTTTGAATCTAAACTTGCAGCAATGAAAGAATTTTATGAGGTTTGGAATATTATTAAAATCTCTATACATCTTTTAAAATAAAACTATATAAAAGCCATATTCAAAGTGAAGAAAATTTGAAAAATAAAAGATAATCTATCAGTTACTCAACCAAATATTAATAATTATGCGTATGTTTTACATGTATTTAAATGACGTTTTATTAGTTTGTTTCAATATATGTATGATACAGAAATTTAGTGCTGAATATTGAGTTACAATTGAGTTTTAAGATTTTGCATTTCTAGTTAACTATAGGCGAAGAAATTTGACAGACATAAAGCAATTTGCATCTTCCTATTCCTAATGATGTACGTTTTATACAATTATATTTCTCTGTTACTGTGCTTTGGGTGTTTCTAATTGCTTGCTGCTTTTAATAGTATCTCTGTATGTATTAGTTTTTAATGTCTTATTCCTTTGCCTTCTACTTCTCAAATGGTGACCAAATATGGATTTTTAAAAATTATAATTTTTACTTATTTACTTTTTACATACTTACTTTACTTATAATTTTTACTTACTGACAAATTGCTTGCTAGAAGTATCATCACTTGCCAGTGTTCCCAGTGTTCTTCAGTTTGTATTTTAATAATTAATGGATCTGAGGTTTTGACTCTGTTTCCTTATGGATAAATTATGTATTTGTGACACTTTGAGTTTTTCATTAAGTGAAATATGAGTAATGAACTATTATATTTATACAGGTTCTTTAGATAGTTTGGTAATAAGTCTTTTAAAGTATTTATCATATACATTTTTGTCTTGATTATATAATCTTTTTCTTGGTTTCATTTTGTTATACAGGCATTTTTAATTTGGTAAGTCTGAGTCTATCAAACCAGAGATCTTACTGAAATCTTGTTCAATTCTCTGCTTTTTCATTTTATATTTTTGAATCACATAGAACTTATTGTGATGCTTTATGAAAATATGAAAATAAAGTTAATTTTGCTCTATATTATTATTTGTCTCTAAAATAATTGCAACATGAATTAAAATTGTTGCATTGTGACTATCGAATATCTCATTTTCAAATGTGACTGTAGTGGAATTATGTTCTATACTACTTAGATAATAACAGTAATGAAGACATTTTAAAATTTAAAAGAAGTTGGGGCTGGAGATTTAGCTCAGTGGCATAAGCGCCTGCCTTGCAAGCAGGCAGTTGTGAGTTCGATCCCTGGTACCGATAAAAAAGGAAAAAGACAAAAAAAAAAAAAAATTTAAAAGAAGTTGCCAAATTATAGCTGTAATGCCTTTTTTTTCTTCTGGTACTGGGGACTGAACCAAAGTTTCAGAACTCTATCTCCAGTCTTTTTGTTTTTTGTTTTTTTTGAGACAGGGTTTTGCTATTTTGCCCAGACTGAGCTTGAACTTCTGTCTCTCCTGCTGCAGCCTTCCAGAGTGCTGGTATTATAGTTAAATACATCGGGCACAGCTTTTTAATGCTTTATTTAATACAAAGATAAAAATAAGTTAAATATGTAACTTGATCTAAAAAGTAATATAAAATAATAAAAAAATACATTGTAAAATTTTATGGTGTTAAATTTGACAATTTTCTAGAAAGAAAAGACTTTTTAGGAGAAAATAAATTATGAAAACTGACTTAATAGAGGAATCACCGTGAAGTACATGGAAAAATTTGTCAGTAAGCTAGCTTCAAAGAAAGATTAAAAAAATAATTGGAGAGGAAAAGTCGCTTATTCCAATCAGTTTTATGTATTTTCTTTTACATTTTCAGTAATGAATAAGTCCTTTTTGTTTTAACTACTGTGGAATGTCTAGTGTTATAATAACTGATTAAAAACAAAAGAAACAAAGACTACAAAAGCTGAAAAGGTGATTCAGAAGATAATTATAAATTGATCTTCATATGAGCACAGTTATAAAAATCATAAATGTTAGTAAACCCAGAGCAATACTTAAAGCATACTGAAGCTGTGGCCAGCAGGGTTTATTCTAGGCATGTAAAATATACTCATAATGGAAAATCCAAAAAGATTTAGTTATATTATACCAAAGAATTGACAGTGTTTTTCTCTAAGTGATGGATTTGTAAATGGTTTTAACTTTTTTCTTTGTGCTTTTGTGTATTAACAATTTCCAAATTTTCTACATGAAAGTGAATTGATTGTGTATTTAAAACAACTAAAAACAGCACTGGACACATTAAAACCTAGTGAGACAGTCTCCCTCCCTATTCGCTTCTTCCCACTTTCAACCATTCATGGCAGTTCTTATTTTTCCACATAATTATACTTTCTCTGAATTAAACTCTGTATAGTATTTATTTTGGTAGAATTTTAAATGATATCTTATAAATATTAAATATATAAATTATTATTATGATTAATATATTTAAGCGATGTCTGTATTTACCCTGAGGATGTTATTATTTTTGTTTTTACTGTATCTTATAATTTCAACTTTATTATTTAATTTTTTTCATTCAAAATTAATAGAAGCTATGTATTTTCTTTTTCTTAGAGTAATGGTAGTAACAGAGGTGAAGATGTTTTTTGTGATCCTGAAGATGAATGGGAACCTGACATTACAAATGCTCCAATTTCTTCATTTTCTAGAAGGAGGTAATAATGCTGTGGTTGTTGGTTTTGTTGTTCTGGATATATGAGGGGAGGGGGTGAGCAGAGAGAGAGAGAGGGAGAGAGTAAGAAATTTTTAAAAACTATTGTCATGATGGACAGGTTTGTGAAGGGAACCTAGAAATGTGAGTGGGATAGTATGTTAGTGATTAAGTTAGTAGAGCATTAAATTGCTTATCAGTCTGTTAGAGGAACAAAACTGTTCAGTATTTTATCATGTAAATTTTAAGAGCAACTTAGAGTAGCATAAATCTAATTGCCTATAAAAATGTGTTGCTGTTAAATTACCCTTTCTTAAGAACTTGGCATATTATATGTAATATATGTTATATTACATATAAAATATTATATGTAATATATTGTATTTGTATGTATATTACATTTATATGTAAGTTATAGAATTTTAAATGCAGTCAAGTTAGCAAGAGCACTCTAAAAGAATGTCATGGCGATAGAGAACTTGATTAATGACTAATGTGGCTTATTAATTTAAGACATAAAAAACATCTGCAGTGAAGTGATAGTGTTCAGAGAAGATCTAGTTCTGCTTAGCCCTCAGCTGCTCAGATTATAGAGGCAAAACAGTTGAGACAGCCCTTGTACTTGGAGAGTTTTGCCCTTTTTTTTAAAACAAATATTTCTGTGATGACTACCCTTTGCCGTGTTCTGAGGGAAAAAAGGTGAATACAAAATACTCCATGTCCTTGTGGACCAGGAATTGAGCAAAATAAAGGTAGGGCTGTTAAAAAAGACTTGAGCTAGGACCAGGCAGAAGGACTGGAGAGGAGAATCAAGCTTTTAATATATTTGTATGCGAGGTACACAATCGGTGTGACTTGGTGTCTGTGGGGTGGAAAGTGTTGACAGGCTCAAGCCTGATGCCGGTTTTAGGCTGCATGACTAACTAGGGGAAAATGATGTTCCCTGAGATGTGGGTAAGTATTTTTTGAGCATAATGAATTTGGGATTCCCGGGGAACATGTAGGTACGTGTAATATATTTAGGTCTACATCTTAGAAGAGGAGATTTAGGAAACTGTCATTATCAGGACCATTTATTGAATGCTTTCAAAGCGTGGATCTCATTTAATGTTCACCACAAACCTATGAAGTAAGCCGTGTAATTAGCTCCCATTTTATAGATGAAGAAACTGAGAATAAATGCAGTTGAATAATGTGTCCAAAGTCACAGAACCGATAAGAGAAAGAGCTGGCACTCACATCAAAGACTAGGTGACGCCAAATCTTCCAGTTTTCTCAACTGCTCTATCATGTTACTTCTCCATTGCAAATGAGAGAGTGGCATCTTGAGTGGTGTCTTTCTGGTTAAATTGTTTGTCTTTTTAAATTTCATTCCTTCCATTGCAGCTCTGGATCCATTTGGGTTTCTAAACATTTTCAAGCCCCTTGCTTTTGACAGTGCTTATTTTAACCTCATTTGCTTTCTCAAAGAGATGGAACTACTTTGTAGTACTGTAAACTTTTCTAGATGTCTGCTTTGTTACATGCTACAGCTAAACTACATTAATAGTTGCTAAGCCAACACAAGCAGTATCCTGAATGAAATACAAAAGCGTATTCTCCAAACAGATTCTAAGCTCTCTCTATGTAGGAAATCTGTCTGTATCCTCTGTAATGTAGCATTGTAAAAAGGTTACAGGCTCCAATATTAGAGCTCTGCGCTTTTATCTATGCTCAATGCAGTCATAGACTAGTGACCACACATTTCAAGGCCTCAGTTTTCTCATCTCTAGAATGGAGACAGTAATAGGTACCTCCTTTCAGGTATTTATCTGTAAGGTAAATAAGGTTCTATGTGTATAGCAGCTGCTTTTGCTACTTTTGTGACCACTATGATCTGCAACACAGAACCGGTAATAATGATGTTACAGAATTGGTATGAGGCTAGCAATAATGTAAATAGAGCTACTATTACAGTGGGTGCATGTTCAAAAATGGTAGTTTGAACTTTTGTTGAGTATTTAACAGATACAAAAAATTAAATCTTAGAGTACAGAGAAGATAGGATTTTTGATTCAGTATCTACAGGTGACTTATCTTGAGGACTCAAGTTAGAGTTGGGCTCTGGCACTAAAGTGAACTAAAGATGGTCCTTGGTGGAACTGATGGACAGGGCTTATGACACTTAGCCAATCTAAAGTAATACAAACTTCCCAAAAACTTAAGCCAGACCAACAAATTCATTTCAGAAAGATGTATGAATGTCTTCGATTTTAGGATTGCTGGTTTCTTACTGTTTTCATTGTAAAAGGAATTGTGTATTAGAATTGTTGTTACTCTATGAGCACTAATAATCCATGGCACTAAAATTTTAGCCTACTGAATGCTGGCAATCTATATATTATTTCTTGCTGACTTCTAGGTTAGCTAGAAAATCAACAAAAAATTTAGAATGTTACTGAAAAATCAAAATTATTTTATAAGATTTTGAAATTGTTTTCACTCAGCAGAGATATTTTTGAGAAATTCTATAATTTAAAAGTATCATATTTTTAAAAAAATGAATTGCTCTTAGTCTGAGACCTTGTGTATGAAGTTTCAGCCTTGTAAGGATGTTTATGACAGAATTGCAAACTCTGAGAATGCCTGTAGGTAATGGAAACACTGACAGATTCTTAATTATAGAACTGCCACTGGGCAATGAGATGCCTCGGTTCTTCTGCAATAAAATAGGCTGGTTTCACTGCCTATAAATTTTGATACGTACTGTTGACAGTTAAAAGTAAATTTTCTTCTGAGGTTAAGTAAAAACTCTTTGAAAGGAATGTGACAAGCATTTTCTTTATTTGGATTTAAACATTGTTTAAGTATGGTAGTGTTGTAAGAATAAGAGGTTTCCCAGTTTAGAACTTCTAAATTAATGTACGTTTTCATTTCATGTCTAATTATAAAAACTGTAGTACTATATTTGAGAATTGTTTTTCTCTCTTTTTTATCATTCATATTTTTGTGTTGCTATACAGATTCACAGGTATGTTTGAAACAGTTAGTCTACTGATAAAAATGCTTTGTTTAACAATGTATTCAACAAATAGTATTTTTCTTTGAGTGGTCAACAGCAGTAGAAAGTATTGTTAGGAAAGGACACCACAAGATCACTGTATTTAGGTCTAGGTCACTGCTCAAGTTGACATCATGAGTTGGCCTTGGAGTTTAGAGAAGTGATAGATGAATGGCAAATGGAAGTGGTCTGCAGCTTCTAGGAGTAGAGAGAGTAGGCTCTTTTTTGGAGAAGCAGTTAGAGTGATGCCTAAATAGCAGTCACACTCAAAGGAGAGATTTCTGAACTTTACAGGCGAGAGAAAAGAGCAGTTGTGGATAAAATCATTGACTCCACTTGAGCTGTTGCCACATCTCACAGGCGTGCTTTGCACAGTGTCACAGGTTCTTATTTTGATGTGTACTTACCCAGATCGTTTCCCTGGTTACAATCCTTCCCTGGTGTCTTTCTTACTTTTCTCTTGCTGCTGAGACAAAATACCTGACTCTCAAAATTAAACAGGGGAAGGTTTATTTTGCTGTGTTTGTGGAGGTTTCAGTCCATAATCAGCTGGTTCCCAGGCAGGGTGGCATGGCACAGGAGCAATAGGTGATGGTGGCAGAAGACATCAAAAGCAACAACAGCAAAAAGGGAGGAGCATGGAGAAGACTTTTTCGGTCCTGTGTATTGTATGTAGGCTACCCAGCCTATGGTAGGTAGGTGTAGCGCTTACACCCGTAGTCCCAGCGCTGGACAGTGGATCCCAGATTCCGCCGCTTCCTAAAAGCACCCCTCCCGTGACTGGATCAGACGCAGACCATAACGCCTGCGTAATTTGCTGAGGATAAATGCAAGCTTCCTTACCTGGCGCACAAGGTCAGCCTCAGGCTGGCTCCTGCCCTCCATCCAGCCTCATTTCTTGCCATTCTCTCCCCCACATTACAGCTCCAGTCCTCAAGCTTGCTAGCTTCTCTGCATGTACAATGCTTTTGTTTATCAGCACATTTCCCCATGTCTTGGCATCTGTGTCTGAGTTGCCGCCCTCTGCTTCCCAAGCTCTCCCCTGCCAGTTGAGCTAACTCTTGCTCATGCTTCAGAATCACTGTTTCAGAGAAGCCTCCAGTCACTTGGGCCAAGCAAGTTCCCCAGGATCTACCACAGCATTCTGTGCCTTCCCAGCATTCATTTCTTTACTGTAATTGACTGACTGACTTCTTTTTGTTTTGGAGTTTACGTTTAGTGAGGCCACATTCTATCTGCTGTGTTTCAGTTCAGAGTTCAAAGCTTGTAAATAGCATTGTTCAATAAATATCTGCTTAACTAACTATATGCTTAGAATATTGCTTACAAATAGTAATATTCTTGCTTATGATGAATTTAGCCCTTGATAGAAAGTACACCTATACATATCCATTTTCTTTAGAGAATTTAAAAATAAATATTCTTGATAGTATCATTCCATGTAGTATATAACTGCTTCTTTTATTTCTCTTTTTTCAGGAGCAGGAGTTTGATGAAGAATAGAAGAATTTCTGATTGTTTACATGATGTACACGTCCACCCAGTTCAGAATCTATGTTCTTCACATTCATCAGGTATTTATTTTTTGTTTTTTGAATCAAGGTTTTTTTGTTGTTGTTGTTGTTGTTGTTTTTGTCTTTTTCCTTTTTATCAGTACTGGGGATTGAACTCATGACTGCCTACTTGCAAGGCAGGCACTTAGGCCGCTGAGCTAAATGTCCGGCCCCTTGAATCAAGTTTTATTTTTGTAGTCAAATTTTCTTGGTGAGAAAAGGACTAAGTCCTGGCTCTATCATGAACTTTTGTAGTCTTGTGCAAATCATCTCATTTCCTAGAAACCTCTGTTTCCCCTGTAAAGTGAGGAGTTTGAATTACATAACCTCTTCTACAGTACAGTTTTGTACTCTGATGTATATTTTAAGGGCTGGGTTTGATCCATAGCACCACAGGAAAGAAAAAAAGAAGAAAGGAGAAGAGAAAGGGAAAAGGGAAGGAAGGAACACAAGGAGAGAGGTAAAAAAAGGAAAAAAGGAAAGGAAAGGAAAAATGTTTAAAGAAAAAGGTATAGGAATAACTACTTTAATTATTTTGTACTAATATTCATTTTATTCATAAAAGGAAGGATATATTAAATTTGTATGTGTAACTACTTGTAGTAATTTAAAAATTACTTTTGAGCACAGTGGTGGCATCTGTATTCCCAGCTCCTCAGGAAGCTGAGGAGGGGAGCATTGTTTGAGCCCAGGCATTAAGAGCTAGCCTGAACAATAAGCAAAAAGAAAGTTAACTACCTGTAACACTGTACTGCTACACAACAATAAAAAAGAAGTAATGACTGGTTCACACAACAGCTTGGATGAATTTCCCCAACCAAATGTTAAGTGAAAAAAGGCATATACAAAGAATATATACTGTGTAATTCTATTTACAGGAAGTTTATGAACATGTAAAACTAATCTATTGTGACAGAAGTGATGGTAGTTCAGATTAGAATAGTGGTTATCTTTGTTGGGGGATATTGGCTAGAAGAAGGAAGCCTGTGGGGGGCGCGGTGGAAGTGTTGTATATGTTGATTTAAGTCAGGGTATAGAGACATACTCCTGTGTAAAAAGCTAAGGAATACACTAAAAATATGTGTACTTTAGAATATGTAAGTTATACCTGAGTAAATAAAAAATTTAGTAATATGTTAATTTTTTGATAGTAGTCCTAATGGAATATAAGTGGCCATAAAAGAAATTATATCTCATCTTGACTAAGAAATTTGAGTTTCCTTTTTTTGATCATATAATTATCTTTTAGGAAGGTAACTATGTAGCCAGGTGTGGTTGGGCATACCTGTACTCCCAGCACTCAGGAGGCTGAGACAGGAGGATCATTGTAAGTTTGAGACCAGCCTGGGCTACAAAGTGAGCTCAAGGCCAGTCTGAACTGCATAGTGAGAGCGTGACTCAAAACACACACACACACACACACACACACCACACACAAAATCGGGAGGAGAGTAATTATAATACTACTAAGGTAGATCAAAATATGCTATAGGCTTTTTATCAACTAACAAAATAAAACGTACATATCTAGTAGCAACTTAATTAGTCAGTGTTATTTGAGAGATGTTTTACCAGAGTAGTTTTCAGTGCAAGTTTGTTAATCTTGTAGCTTTGGGTTTGGTACTTTTTTTTTTTTAATCTTTTCCCCAAATTCTTATCTTTGTTCTAGACCAGTGACCATGACCCCTAAGAACTAAGAGTTTTCAGTTATACAAATAGCCTGCTGTAGCTATAGGTTCCTAACAGTAGTCTAGGTTTTTAATGTCTCCCACTCTATTAACATATAAACTATTATACTTTCCTTTTTGTTTGCTACTTTTAATCACCCATGATCAGAAAACTAATATTTCATATTAAGTGAGAATTTTTATACTTATATCTTAGTACTCTAGGATAAAGTTATTTCTGGAGGATCTGAATGCATTCTCTCAAACATTTTCATTTACTTCTGTTTTGGACAATACTTTCTGCAAGTCTCTCTCTGTTTGTACTAACTGCAGATAATTAATAGACTTTCATCTATTTTGAGTATGGTATATACTGTGAGAAGGAACTATTCTAAAGTAGAGGTCCTGAGAGTTTCCTTATTGTATAGTATATTGTTGCCTCGTTTTCAATTTATGTGTTTATCAGATTTCTAATTTCATTTTACGTACTTGCCATTGCTTCCCCAATTTATAGTTTCTTAGATGTTACAGAAAATCCTTACCGAAAAGTAAGTAGAGGAGATTAAGTCAGTGGGCACATGGAATATTCGGATGTTTGTTACACATATAATGGTTGAGAAGCTACTCAACCTACGAGCTGATGCTTTTGAGAAATGAATTGATAACTGCAAGGAACTCTTCACTTCGGCATGCTGAAATTAGAATAGCCTAATTTTAATTTATTGACCAATGATTCTATATGTTTGAACATACGGTACCTGAAAACGGCTTAAGATGGCTATTTTCTGGCAATGTAGGTTTAATGGAGAAGTCAAGCACCATTTACTCAACTTCAGCAGAATCATTTCTTCCTGGAATATGCAAAGAATTGATTGGTTTTTCAGTGGATTCTCTTGGACATAGTTTTGATGAAGAAAAAACTATAGCAGATAGCCTGATGAATAATCTTTTAAAAATTTATAACGGGCTACTTACCATCTCCAAAGCTCATGAAGAACAAGATGAAGAAAGTCCAGATAACTGTAAGCAATCTCACTGCTTTACTAGTTCACATGATGATTGTTCTCTACATATCACACTTCTAATTATTACTTGACACATTTGGCAGACATCTGTGGATTACCCTAAAATATTTTAAAGATGTTTATTTGGAGATTATTCTTTCCAATAATTTTCCTTCTCTCAAAGTGTTCTCCTCGGATCGAGCAGTCCAGTCATTTACTATCCAGATTGCTTGCTGTTTTGAACAGCTTGCAGTTTTAATCAAACACTGGCTGAATGATTTTCTGCCTGGTACCTGCATTGCAAACCTGGAAGATGAATTGAGACAAGAAATTAAAAAACTGGGAGGCTACTTACAGTTATTTTTACAGGTAAATTGATTTATTATTATTGGAACAATTTATTTGCTCAGTATTTTTTCTTCAGTTTTTATTGTTAGTTCATATGTAGTTTGCAGTGTAATTACATTTCTTGTGAAGAGTTGGTACATGTACGTAAAACCTTACAATTCTTTTGTCATCTGTTGCCGCCCCTTTTTCCCCTTCCTTCCATCTCTTGATCTCCTTCAAATTTGAAAAAGATCTACTGCACTCTATCTCCCTACTTCCTATGATCTATACTTTTGTTCTTTATGTGTATTTTGGATTTCTCATATAAGAAAAACTACACAAATATATAAGGTTGTGTGTCTGGTTTATTTCAGTTGATATTATGATCTCAAAGTGCATCAGTTTTCCTATAAATGACTTATTTGTCCTTATTCATGAGACAGTGGTACTCCACTTTATGTAAATAGCTCTTTTTCATTATCTGTCCATCTGTTGATGGACATAAAGGTTGCTTCCAACATTTAGTTGTATGAGTTGTGCTGCTATACACATAGGTATATGCTTATATCACTATAATATGCCTTCTTTCGGGAAGAATACCTGGATCAAATGGAATTTCTAATTTTAGTTTTTGAGGAATCTCCATATTGATTTCTATAGTGGTTGTATTAGTTTGTGTACCCACCAACAATGTACAAGGGTTCCTTCACCCCCCGCCTCCCAGCTTCGCTGGCACTACTATTTGATTCTTGATGATAACCGCTCTTTCTGAAGTCAGATGGAATCTCAGTATTGTTTTAATTTGGATTTCTCTAATGGTCAGTTATGAACATTTTTTTCCTTGTTATTTATTGGCCATTTGTATTTCTACCAAAGAAGAATCTATTTTAGTTGCCCAGTTTTTGGTTGGGTCTTTTATTTTGGAGGGTTTGATGTTGTTAAGTTCTTTATGTATTCTAAATCGTAATTTCTGTGTGAGGTGTAACTGGCAGAATTTTTTCCCCTTCGGTCTTTTCATTCTCTTGGTTGTTTTCTTTGATGTGTAGAAGCTTTTTAATTTGATATGATCCCATTTGTTGATTCTCTACTATTTCTCATGCCATTGGGGTTCTTTTTAAAAAAGTCCTTGCTTATGCTGTCAAGAATTTTATCTGTTTTATCTCCCAGCAGATTGTTTCTGATCCATTTTCATTTTAGTTTAGTACATAGTGAGATGTGGGTTTGGATTCAGTCTTTGCATGTTGACAGCCAAGTTTCCAAGGACCACTTATTAAAGAGGCTCTCTGTCCTTTAGTGTAAGTTTTCGGGCACTTGATTGATGATCAGATAGTTGAATCTGTGGTGGTTTCTGCATCTTCCAGTATGTTCCATTGATTCACATTTCTGTTTTTGTGCCAGTATCATGCTGCTTTTATCACTGTAACTTTGTAATATAAGTTCAGATCTGGGATTGTGATGCCTCTTGCTTTTGCTACTATGGATCCACCTGAATTTTTGACTTTCAGTCTATGAATTTCTTTTTGGGTTGTGTGTTTCTTGTATAAAGCGTATTGTTGGATTTATTTCTTGATCTACTCTGCTAATTTGTGTCTTTTGATTGATGAATTGTGACCATTCACTCTGATGGTTATAACTTAAAGGTACTGACTTATTTTTCATTATATTATTTTAATGCAGCTGATTCCCTTTCTGTCTCTTCTGTTTAATTGCTCACCCTGTCTGGTGTATTCATTCTGTTGGGACTCTTAGCATTGTTAACTTCATTGTCTCCTTCTAGGATATCCTAGAATAGTTTTGGAGTCTGGTTTGGTGGTCATGAATTTTTTTAGGTACTCTTCATTATGGAAATATAACTAGTAAGTGTTATAGCTGGATTTGAACCCAGGAAGTCTTGCTATTGGGAAGAGATCATACCTTCCTCTGGCTATTGATTTTAGCTTTTGCTGAGTTAGTCATAAGTCTACTGACATGGAGACAAGGAAAGCAGTTTTGTTTGGAGTGGGTTTGGCTGTGAGGAAGAAGCAAGATGAAAGTTTACTTTGTTAGGCACTAAACATGTTTGCTGGGAGAAAAATAGCCTGTTTAATAAATGATGCTGGAGAAATTGGCTTTCTACATGCCAAAAATTGAAACTAGACCCATGTTTATCACCACACACTAAACTAGAGTAAAAATGGATCAAATATCTAAATATTAAAACAGAAACACTAAATCTACTAGAGGACAAGGTAGGTAGAAATCTTGAAGACATGGGGTAGACAAAGAGTTCATAAACAACACACAAACTACACAGGGTAGTACTTCAAAGAATTTAACAACTGGGATCGCATTTTACTAAAAAGTTTTTGTACTTCAAAAGAAATCACCAACGGAGTGAAGAAAAAACCTACAGAATGAGAAAGAATTTTAGCCAGCTGCCCCTCAAAGGACTTATATCTAGAACATATAAAGAACTAAAAAACATCAGGCCCCCCGAATTCAAAGACCCAGTCCAAAAATGGGCATCTGAGATGAATGCACTTCTCAAATGAAGAAATACAAATGGCAAATAAATGCATGAAGATATATTCAGTGTCACTGGTCATTTGAGAAATGCAAATTGAAACAACACTGAGATTCCATCTCACTCCAGAAAGAATGGCTGCCATCAAGAAATCAACTGATAACAAATGTTAGCTGGGCTGTGGGGAAAAAGGAACACTTTTCCACTACTGGTAGGAGTGTAGACTGGTACAATCACTATGGAAATCAGTGTGGAGATTCCTCAAAAAAACCAGGATTGCAAGTCCCATTCAATCCAGCTATCCCCTTTCTGGGTACATTCCCAGAAAAATTGAAAATGTCATGGCACAGCGATATTTGTGCACCCATGTTCAGAGCAGCATAATCTGTATTAGATAAGTCTTGTAAACAGCCCAAATGCTGTTAGTTGAAGAATGGATTAAAAAAGATGTGGTATTTTTATGCAATGGAATATTACTCAGTTATAAAAAAGGATAATCTTGAGGCTTTAATATATAAATGGAGGCAACTTGAGACCATACTCATAAGTGAAATAAATCAAACTCACTTAAGTATCATATTGTCTCCTTGGTATAAAAAGAGGCTGAAAGAGCAATAAGATCTGAAATGTACAATAGGTATTGTAATAATGAAAGTGAAAGAACATGATAAAAAGGAAAGAACAGCTGGGACAGGGGAAAGGAGAAAAGGGAGAAAGGAAAAGATTATATGTATGTTGATAAACAAATATAAAGTTATGTATGTATCTGTGTGCAAGATAGATAACTATACTATCAACCTCTGTTAGTTCATCAAAAAGCAGTTTGTACTGTCATTGTTTAATTATTTTTGTCTAGATATATTAATCCGTGTTAATTTCCTGCTTTTTTTTCAAATTCCATATCATTTCTATCCTTTTTCTGTTTCGCTTTTTAAAATTAAAAAACAAAAGAGAAAGTTTACTTTGTTTCACATAAAAGCTGGAGGTAGGTATGAAAGCTGTGTTTCATAAAGTCCAAAGGTTCTAGGCTTCTTCCAGCCCACCCCTCTGCTGGACCTCAAGTACTGCCCTTGATTTCATGGTCTACTGTGATGCGCCTCATCTGAGCTCAGTGCAGAAGGATGGAAGACGTGACAAAGAAGCAAAGAGCTAAGGGTGTCTTCTTTAAGGGAAGTTTCTGGAAATTACCATATGTTGCTTTTACTTACATACGCTTGGCCAGAACTTCATCATCTGACCTGTGTGCTAAATTAGTTTGTCCTTTGGCAAACTGCTTCACTTCGAATTTCCCATTTTTTTCACTCGGAAAATAAAAAATATTACCAACCTAGCAGGATTGCTATGATTACCAGATGAAATCGTGTTTTCAGAAAGTACCTGTAAGCTGGGAAATGTTTTACATAAGGCCTCAGTGATGGACACTGAAGGGACTGGAGGCTAGTGAGGTCCAGCTCAGAAGAGACTTGTGTGAAGCCAGCAGGACTGGTGTTAGGGGCTGCATTTTCTCTGGAAACATGGTTTGAGAGTCCTTAGCTTGTGGTGCTATGATTAGCATCTTCCAGAAAGCAGGTCAAAAGAAATAGTTAAGAACCAAAGAGGGGGCAGGGAACACAAAGAACAAAAGCTCTGCTGCTAAGCTGTATTCTCAGCCCCTGTCTTGTCGTCGTGCATTACCATCCTTTGTGATCTCCTGTCTCTGACACACCGATCCATTTCTGTCTTCTAGGGATGCTGTTCAGATATTTCATCAATGGTAAAAGAATCTCAGAAAAAAGTGATCCATATCATACGACAAGCTGTTAAATATGTGGGGAAGTTGGCAGTTCTGAAAGGGAACAAGCTCTACTTTCTGGAAAGTAGTAATAATAAGGCTGCCAAAGTCCAGGTAATTTAGCAAAGTTAGTTTCGAAAGATTTCATCTGAAAGAATATTAGAGGCTTCTGATGATAGTGTCACTAAACATGACAAATGCATTTTATTTTTCAAAATATTGTGTGCTAGCCAGGGATTTAGCTCAGCGGCTTAAGCACCTGCCTGGAAAGTGTGAGGTTGAGAGTTCAATCCCCGGTACCAAAAAAAAAAAGAAAAAGAAAAAGAAAGAAAACAAATATTGTGTGCATTTAATAGTTTGACAATACAATTTAAATATTTTCAATCCAAATTGGTTAAATATACTAGAGGATATTATAATTATTAGTTTGCCTTTTAGATTCTTGTTTTGATAATAGCCATCTACTCTTGTAAGTTTTCTTAATAAACACCTGAAAACTATAATTATAGGGAATTTATATTAGCTTGCTTTATTTATGTTAATGAAACACAATATTATGTTAGAATGTTACTGTGTTCTAGCTGAAGAGTGCATTTCCTAAAATGAGGAAACACTTTACCACATATTATGTGTGGAATAGTAATTTATAATTTTGCTCATTTTATTTATTAATAGATTGTTAGTTTTTATTCTGGCCTCAGTTGAACCTCATTAAAAAAGCTTATTTACCTTGTAATTTAAAAAAATACGAAAACCAGAATTTACCAGTTAATGCTGAAACACTTTTTCTAGGAAGAATTTATAGATGCTGTTTGGGATGGTGTAGGCTCAGGAATGAAGATTCTGTTAGATTCTGGTCTGGAAAAAGCAAAAGGACTTCAGCATGACCTCTTACGGGAAAGTGCACAAAATGAGGTATGATGAATAAAAGAATGTACTGTATGGTACCAGATGATGATGAAGTTGATTTTTTAAAAAAAATAGTTTAATGCAGGGAGTTAGATTTTCAGAAGTTTGTGTATCCTAGTTTGTGCTGAAGTATTAAAGGGGCTGGTGTTATCATGGTGTCATGCTGATCTCTTCCCAAGTTGTTCTTGAGCTGTTGCAGCCTCTGGCTTATTAATCTTTTGATGGTTTTTGAAAGATGTTTCAGTGACAGTTCAATCTGACAACATCCTAAGCAGGGTGGAATATGGTAATGACACCTAGCATTTGCTCTCAGATTGTCTTTTTCTTTTAGGTCTCTAGTTTTTCAGCCAAAAATGGAAATTACCATTTGTTAACCTAGTTACCTTGAACTAAGTATTTTTCAAAGGAAATTAATATCAGTTATTTCATTATGAAGACACAGAACCAATGAGATTTGAGTGTCTTCCTAAAGCAGCTTTCTTCCCTACAGCTAGCATTAATTTAAAGCATGAAACCAAGGCTGTCGTGGGGGGGGGGGGAGGGGGTGCCTTAGGACACATCAGAAGCCAGTGTTTGAAACCTGGCTCTAGCACTTTCCATTTCCTATTAGCAAATCACTCAGTGCTCTCATCTTGTTTCTTCATCTGACAGATGTTATAAAACTTGTCACAGGTTGTGAGGTCTTTATTTGTTGAATAATTTCCTGTAATAGTTACTAGACTAAATGCTTTACGTATACTAACTTTTGAAGGTCAGAGTTATTAGTATCCCTTTGAGTTTCAGTAAGTTTGAGTGCCTTGTCTGACAACTAGTTATAAAGCTCTGAGGCCAACATTGTATACTGTCCAATTCCAACACTTATCATAAGTGGGTTTTATAAATCATTATCATTGATTCATTTTCTTTACTGAGAGTTACCGTTAGTGAAGTGGAGATTGGGAATATAAAAACTCAAATTTTATGACACTGAATTCCAGAGAATTGATTGTTTTAGAATCTTGTGACAACTTGTTAAAATCAACTATTTGATGCTTTCTACCTGTAGAAATTTATTTAGGCTCCTGAGATTTTCCTTACTATATGTCTACTAATTTACATAAATATTGATTAATCTAGAAAAATAGATCATGTGCAGGACTGCTATCTTCTACTGCTGTGGATGACTATTTCCAGGAAGGCATAGAGTAAGCTACATTTTTTCCCCCCTTCTTTTTAAGAAAAACCTTGGCATTAATGTACTTGTGGTTCATCTGAGGTAAACCATGCTATGTAAGCCAGAGAATTTCTCCATCCCTCTCCTCAGACCACAGGGATAAAGATTTACCTCTGTTAGACAGGCTAGCTCAGACTCAGAAAGAAACCAACAGCAACCTGCTTTCCTAGTTCCCATGTATCTTTGAATAGTGTAACTGTGCCTTAGTCTTTCCATTATAAAAATGGGGCTGATTATTCTTATTTCATTGTCGATGTCCGCTCCCGGCCGGCAGGAAGGACACACGACAAAGTCTGGTAGTGGACAACCTTTTCTTTTTATTTTCCTTCTCCGTACAGCCTGCCCTGGGTTCTCCCAGCTGAAGCCTCCTCTGGTCCGCTCCCCGCGGCTCCTTTTGTGCTTCAGTCTGCCCCAAAGCCTCTACCGGTCCGCTCTCCGCGGCTCCTTTTGGGCTTCTACTTCCGGGCTTCTATCTGGCTTCTTCTTCCGCCCAGGGGTGGCACCGGTATATATACGGGTACAGTGTCCAATCATGTTAAAGTAAGCAAGGCAAGCTGATTGGCTAACATCATCAGTTGCCAGGCAGACTATATTGTTGAGCGGGTTGTTTACGCGGTAAGCAGGAAACTAACATATTCGATGGGAGGGGTAATCTACCTCAGGCCTCACTCTTTACTACAGGCCTCACGTCCGCCAAGTGAGGCGACTGGGCTCGGGGCTGCGGCTCCCAACATCTCCCCCTTTTTTATTTTTTATGAATGTGCGCATCGTAGCCCTTCCTGGACTGGGTGCAGAGGCTTATGCCCTATGCGTAGGCCCACCGTAGGTCCTTGGCTTAGACCCTGGTCGGCCGTCCCATGGTCTGCCAAGGCCCTGAGGCCCTCGTCCTTTTTCTAGGGCCAGGCACAAACTGGACGGAACCTGGATGCACACAAGCTTGCACTCATTTCCTCTCCGTAAAGAAATCCCCTCGGAGAGAAATTTAGACCTGGGCAGCATCTAACAGTCCAGCGGCTTACGTGCAGGATGGGGTAGGGCCTGGCTTAGGTCGAGTCATGCTGGGGAGGCACGCTCTTACCCGTCATTGACTTACCTACCCTGCTGTGTATTGTCACCCTATGGAGGAGAATGAGGGATGCCCGCCATATCTAGACTCGGTCGTGGGCCAATTGAGCAAGCCATGCATATGCCTGAGGATCTTCTTGTCCATTTTGGGCTACCGCTATTTCTATTCATCTTATTGGTTGGTCTGTGATGGATCTCCAGTAGGGCAGGTCTGATCTTCAGTCGAGGGCTTTGTTGCCCATGTCAGTCTCTCCGGTATCCACAGTGGTTCTCGTCCCGATTCCTGTGGGAAAACACAAACCGCGCCTCGGTTCCAGCTGACCACTGGATCCGGGCCCATCCATTGTCATGCCATAGATAACCGCGCCTTTGGAGGCAGGCCTTGGCTTACTCCCCCTTTTTGTTTTTTATTTTTTATTTTTTATTTTTATCTTTTTCGTTTTTTTTTTTTTTTTTTTTTATTGGTACCAGGGATCGAACTGGCGATTGCCTGCTTACAAGGCAGGCGCTTATGCCGCTGAGCTAAATCCCCAGCCCCCGTTTCCTCGATTGGCGTTTCTCTCAGCCTGCTCTGCAGAGAACTCTGCGTACCAGGCTCGCCAATCCAGGTAACTGCCTGAGGGCAGACACGCCTTTGCCAGCTGAATCCAGTCCGCGGGGGTGAGGGGCCCAGAAGACAGATTCTCCAGCATGGCAATGGTGTAAGGCGCAGTCGGCCCAAAGGTTGTAACTGCATTTTTAAGTTCTCTAATCTGCTTTATCTCAAAAGGCTCCCATACATTGCGTCCCTGGCCCATAGCTACTTGTACAGGAAATATCTCGTAGGGGCCACTATCTATCCCAGGTGGATGTACCTCATGAGACAAGCGTCCCCCCTGCCAAAGCCGCCTGTAAAAATACCGACCCGCCGGCGGCGGAGCATAAGACGGCGGCCGTGATTGGGCGGAAAATGGGGGCCCGTGCATCACTTCCTGTTCTGGCGAAAGGGGAGGGAGCTCCCAGGCGGCCGCCTCGTGGCGAGGGACCGCCTCCCTCTCGCGCCGGGGCGCACTCAGGAGCTCTCTACTCCTCCGCAGACCAGGTTGAGCAGAGCGCAATTCGCGGCGTGACGCTGGAAAAGAACCCTGCGACTCCTTATTGAGCGACTTAGGCTCCTGACAGCTGGTCTCTTTGGCCTCCCTGCCATTCAACTTTCCCTCGTCCTCGGAGTCAGACGACTCCAAGGCTAGAGCCCCGTCCTCCTCCTTAGCATCCTTGTTCCCCTTGACGGACCCCTCTCGGGAGCTCCCTGACTGGGCCTGCTCAGATACCCTGCGTACTTTTGTAAGCTCTTGAGAGCTTTCTCCACAACCACCCTCGCTCTTAGTGTTGCTACCTAGCATGTTTCCCATCTTTTAATATGTTACTCACCGCGTGAGGCCCAAGGAATCCGCCACTTACGCGTGAGCCTGAGGGGAGTCTAAAAGCCCTGTAGGTGCGCGCCACCCAGAGCCCAGGCTTATCCCCAACTCACCTGTCTCGCAGCTCTGTACTGGAGCGTTGTCCACTTCCACGTCGCGGGGGTGATCAGTCCCCGGGCGGGCCTCCAAATGTCGATGTCCGCTCCCGGCCGGCAGGAAGGACACACGACAAAGTCTGGTAGTGGACAACCTTTTCTTTTTATTTTCCTTCTCCGTACAGCCTGCCCTGGGTTCTCCCAGCTGAAGCCTCCTCTGGTCCGCTCCCCGCAGCTCCTTTTGTGCTTCAGTCTGCCCCAAAGCCTCTACCGGTCCGCTCTCCGCGGCTCCTTTTGGGCTTCTACTTCCGGGCTTCTATCTGGCTTCTTCTTCCGCCCAGGGGTGGCACCGGTATATATACGGGTACAGTGTCCAATCATGTTAAAGTAAGCAAGGCAAGCTGATTGGCTAACATCATCAGTTGCCAGGCAGACTATATTGTTGAGCGGGTTGTTTACGCGGTAAGCAGGAAACTAACATATTCGATGGGAGGGGTAATCTACCTCAGGCCTCACTCTTTACTACAGGCCTCACGTCCGCCAAGTGAGGCGACCGGGCTCGGGGCTGCGGCTCCCAACATTTCATAAAAATTGTCCTGAAATTATTTGAGACTGAGAAACTGTGTGTAGAATGCTAAAAACAGTGCTTGGAAAATCTGAAGTCACACATCTGACTTGCACATGTTCTTTTTCTCTGACAAAACAGAAGAAGCTCACATTGTCACTCAACCAAGATCTGTGGGTCTCATCATGTTTCAATAGGCATTATGCTGATTTGGGTTCTATAATGCAGCTTTGAGCAAAGAGTCATATTAAACTAAAATATTATATCTTCCACTGGAATTTTGTCAGTAAAGTTTTTGCAAGCAATAAGTACCAAAATTATAGAATAAGTTAATGAAAATCGGGGTGAAAATAGTGTATGTGAATTTGTGCTTGTTGGTAAGCTGTTCAAATAGATGCCAATGTTAGCTTTGTTACTGTTTTAAGCAAATAAAAAGAAAAAGAGTCAGGCCCATCTGGTACACAATTTTATATTATCTGCATCTTCTTGTAGAACATGCTCTTCCTTCTCAAGTTTTCTTTCTGCTGTCTGCCATAGCTGTACTTTTTGATTAATGGTGGGATTTTAGCTTATCATTTTTCCCCTTTAATTTTTTCTTATAGTCAATTTGTTTCTTTTTATTAATGTTCAGAGTACATATGTTTACATTCCCTGTGGGCAGTTAGTACATGTACATAAATAACATCTTGTAAGTAAAAACTCAGAACCAAAGGCTGAAAAATAGACTGTCTAAAGAAATACAATTATAATTTTAGAGAAAACTCCTCTAATGGAAAACAAATTCAGACTTTTTAAAATCATATTAGTTAACCCTTCATAAAAGCTATATGGGGTAAGCCAATTAAATACTTAGGCAAGATCACCTGACAATTTAAATTGCACCCTAAGGGGCAGCATTGAGCAGTATAAAAACAAAAGTTTATAATTTACAATGAAGGAAATAAGTTTAATAAATTATAAATTTATTAAGTTTAATATAATGTAATATATATTATATATAATAATATATATTATACATAATATATATTATTATATAATAATATAATAAGTTTAATTATATAAGTTTAATAAATTATAAATTATAAATTTAATAAATTATAAAGTTTATAATTTACAATGAAGGAATTAAGACCTGGGATCTGAGGACATTACATATACAGCAGAAGACTGTAACTGAGAACCAAAATAGCAAACATTTCTAAAATTCTTAGAGCATAATATTTGCTTCATATGTTATCTTCATTCCAAGGGAAGTTTTGGAAATTTCATACTTATAGTTACATAAAAATTCTGTTATTATAATAATATATCAAAAGGTGTACCTATTTAGTATAAAAATCAATGTGCAACTTATTTTGAAAGAAATTCCACTTAGACGATGTAGGTGTGCTCAAGTATTTTACTTGGAGTCTTAGATAGAACTTTAGTCTTCTGTCTTCTAGGCTAGAACTTTTAGTTACATTCATTTTGAGGATATTTGTAAGTAATTGTGTAATAAAGTATTTTAACATTTTTTAGGTTACTGAACAGATGAAAGCAAATGCCATTGAATTGATCAGATTTCTTGAAAATATCTTTTCTGAATGGAAAACAGTAAGAAAACCTTAACTTTTAAAAATTTTGTTTAGTGTATTTTCTTATTTCATGTGGTTCACTTGTAGATATTTTTGTATTTTTATCCCTAGCTAGACAATTGCTTTGTATGTTTATTTGAAGTATATACTAGTTTTCTAGCTTTCTCTTAGACATCGTAACTTACTAGTTTTAGTAACAGGCATAACGTGTAAAAATTTGTTAATATTTTATATCTGTTTCTTAAGATGATGGTTTAGTAATTGTCATCTTTTGCTTGGATAGTCTGTTGTCATGGGCTAAAACTGTAATTATCATTGTGCTCAAGATTTTAAATATAGGTGAATTAGATGCATTATTTGTCTATAAAGATAAATAAAAATATAAAGTAATATATAAAGTATATAATCGATATATTAAAAGGAAAGTAATTTGTATAGCTTGAAATTTTTTATTTAAGTAAAGTAGGAGATGTTTAAAGTTGAATTCTTAAAAATTAAATATGTTTCTTTTATGGTTGGATAGTAAACGGAATGATTGCTTTATTTTGTTCTCATGTAGTGGGATAATAATTTAAAGTAATTGAAAATTTCCATTTCTTTTGAAAAATAACAATTCTTAGTTTTTATTATGGTCTTGTTTGTAGAAATGGAGTTAAATATTGATAAGGAAATTAAACTTTGTTAAAGATAAGATACTGGCAGTTAAGATTACATTGACTGAGTTTTCTGCCATGTAGCCCTTTATGTATTTTAAAGTATTACTTTATTTACACAGAAAAGCTTCAGAACTCAAGTACAAGAAGATGATTCTGGATACCAAGATTCCAAGAACATAACTGATCTTGCCCTAAAATTCTTGAAGTTAAGCCACTGCTTAGAGAAAATCATTCAAATTAGTATTTCTGCACTGAGAGGTAATATGCTCTAAGTGGAATTTGTAATTAGAATTCTGTAATTCAAGAGTTCTTAAAAAACCAGGTACTTATCTAGCAGATTAGCACTGTAGCTGGATAGTCTTAAATAGCTTCTAATTGTCTCAAAAAGGTCTTTTTGCCTTAAAAGTTATCTACAGTCATGTAGTGGTAATAAATACCTGATAAAAACTAAAAAGGGTAATGAACTTTCCTCTCTTGTGTAGGATGCTGCAGTGATGTGCATCTCCTCAAGAACTGTGTTGAAACGATTTGCACCTTGGTCAATGATGTTTGTAGTGACTTCAGGGAGTCTTCTACTTCTGTTGACCATTGTGAGAATAAAATATCTCAAGTTGGCCACAGGGAACTAGAATCTCTAGCTAAGTCGCTTCTCTTATGTTTTGAATCTGAAGAAAGACCTGATTTATTGAAACCCTGGGAATCTTGCAATCAAGACACTGGAGGAGAAGAAGAAAAAGAAAAATCTAACTCAAGATGGACTGGCTACAAAAGGAATAAAGGTGTACCCAAGCGTGTCTATGAACTGCCTGAGGCATCTCCAGCTGTGAGCTCAGAGGTATGCACACCCAGTAGGATTCAGTGGGTGTGACTGCCAAGGCTGCACACTTAATGACCATCATGAAAGAGAGAAGAGTTAGTAGGCATTTTCCTTGTGCAGGAGAACATAAAAAGAAATCAGTGTAATTATTTCAGTGAAGTTCATGTGTTTTGGTAGCCTTGCATTGGCTCTGAACAGTGTAAGCATTACAAAATCCTAGTTTTTGTCAACATGCACTCAGAAGTTTCTCTGCACACAGTTTTAAACAGGGTATTTATGATATATGGATTTTGAGACAACAGAAAATTTCTGTAATCTGGGATGCAGACCCACATGAGTGGTCTTGAATTTGAAGTGTTTGTCTTTAAGTTTGATATGCTGTCTTTGGCCAGTTTGTTAGTCTGTTTGCAAACGGTTATTTCCTTCTGAACAGAAACCTGACTAGTTACTTACCTCCTGCACATAGCTCAGATAAAGTTTATGATAAAATTGCCAGGGCCTGGAGATTTAGCTCAGTGGCGCAGTGCCTGCCTGGCAAGCATGGGGTTCTGAGTTTGATTTCTGGTACCAAAAAAATAAAAAATAAATAAAATTGCCAGTGCAAGTTTAAATAAGACAGCTTACTTGGCCTTTCTGAAGAATAACCAGTTTGCTATTTTGAGTCATATGTTTAAGGCATACTTTTCTGTTTCTTTCAAGTTAGAAGTAACTACCTAAGTGTAGTATAATTATATATTAATACTATGGCTTGCTAATGTAATAGTTTATTATGTTATCTATGTTTCCTAAAGGAGATGTATGAATATAATTTAAAAGTATTAAATATTTCCAGAATCATACCTGAAAAAGATGAGAGGCTGGCATTTTTCTTGTTGCTTGTTTTGTTAAAAGTGTAATGAGAAAGTTTGTATGTAATTTGATAGAGATTAAAGATCCTTATTATCGTTCACAGCTTTAAAAACCTTTGTCCATGATCGTGTAATAAAGATAATAGTCTACTTGTAGGATCTTACATTACAGGAATAGTTTGACATTGTTATCTCAAGAATATGTTTCTTTTTTTTTCTTTTTTGTACTAGGAATTGAACTCAACACCTTGAGCTTGCCAGGCAGGTATATTGTTTGAAAAGATATTTAGTATCTGCTTGGGTGACATCAGGCAATTCCTGAAGAACCATTCTTTGAAATAACCTAGTCCTTTCATTTACTCTTTTCACTCATGGGTGCAACACATACATTTGACATAAGTAGTTAAAACTGGCTATATTAGTCTCTTGAGTAAGCCTGGTATTTCCTTTTTAGGGAGATATTGTACATACTGGTCATGGTAGAACAATATTAATGAACCATATATTTTTAAGTGCTTTAGAATGGTGCAGTGTAGCAAATTTGCTTTCATTGCATTTTTTTTATTTTAGTATTTGAGGTTATATTCTTGCTGAAATTCTATATAGCCTGCTTCACCTGTCTTTAGTTGATTATGCCTGGAATAAAAGCACAAGCTTTGGAGTAAGACATATTTTTTACACATTTGGAATGTGAATCTCACTAAGTGAATGTGAATCTTATTAAGTAATTACGTGACCTTAAACGAGTTACTTAGTCTTCACTCCTAAGTCCTCATTTGCAGAAGGAAAAATAATACCCCTTCACGGACTATGTCTGTGAGCACTATATGAGAAAAATGTGGGAATAACTCCTGGTGAGTAGTAGACTATTAGTAAATGTTAGTGTCTGTTTATGCTTCCATTGTTAGCTATAAAACCCTTGTTATGTGTACAGGATGACATTTGGTGCAAGCATATGCTAATGTACCAAGTTGTATTGCAATCCTTTGAAGATGTTTATTTGAAAATATATCTACCAACATTTATTTCATAGCATAAAACTGATAAGAAATAAGTGAAAAGTATCTCACTGTTATTAAGAGATATATAGTATGGTGTGGGTATGTCTTCCAGGGGACTCATATGAAACTTTTAGAGAAAGTATTTTGTACAGTTAGTTAACTAGCACAAATGAATTTGCAGAGTATACCTATGTGCCAATAATCATTTTAAAGTTTTGCCTAAGTATGGAAAGTAAAAACTCATTTCTCATAGATGAGGGGAAAAGATATTAAAAGTTTAATTCCGTTAGAAGACGTTACTGTAGGTCAGAGATGGTGGATGTTCCCAGCATTTAAGAGGTTGAGGCAGGTGTGTTATGGTTATCGATGTCTCCCAAAGCCTCATGCTCTCTTAGGTGGGCCTTTTGGGAGTGATTGGATTATGGGAATGTGATACCTGTCAGTGGATTAGACCACTGATGAATTTGTAGCTAAATGTGATGTTTGGAGGTAGAGTGTGGCCAGAGAAAGTGGATCACTGGCAGTGTAGCCTAGAAGGATATATCTCCCTCCCTCTGCTCCTGATCTCTCTCTGCTTTCCGCTGCTGCTGTGCCCTTATGCCATGCCATCCTGCCTTTGAGCCAGCTGACTATGAACCAAAACATCTATAAACTGAGCCAGAATCAACCTCTCCTGCTTTAACTTTATGTTGTCCCAGCAATGAAAAAATAAGTGAGACAAGGAAGATCAAGAGTTTGAGGTTAGCCAAGGCTATATAGTGAGACATTGTCTCTAAACAAACAAGACAGATTGATATGCCCAGCACTATGTATGCCTCATTGGGTTCTGGATTTTGCAGGTTGTAGTCATCAAATGATTTAATCATGACTGAGTTTTTAATCTTTCTTCGTTTAACAAATATTAATTCATGGAAATTTTAGATACTGAGTATGACCATTTGCTTTGTTTTAATATCATCTGATAGCTAGGTTTATTCCAACAATTGTTTACTTAATGCTAGGTTCATTTTTGATATTGAGTCCCAAAACCCCAAAAAAGATTAGCTTGGTTCATATATGGCCTTTTGAAAGGCCTAACCCAGCTGCTCATAATATTATACTTTCTCAATATGAAAAACTTATAGACATAATGAATTTGAACCTACAGAAGTAACACTAGAGCACTGCTGATTTATTGAGAGGTAAATCATTTTGATTAAACAGATGGCACCTAGAGATTATGAATACATTTGCTGAGTGGCCCTGAGCTCAGAAAATCACAGGTTCTCCTTATTTGAAATCTATCATTTTTTTTTAGACTTTCTAACCTAAACATGCTTTCAAAGCTTCCTACTGTTTCTCCAATGGCATCCTGAAATGTCCAAGGCACATTGTTTCCTGTTCTGAGGAATCAATGGACACATACCATAGTGACACCATTTACCTTCTGGCCATGAATTCTCCCAAAAAATATAACCATAGCTAATACTTCCTGGGCATTCTGTAGTTTTGTTGAGTATTTACACTGTTTAGTATTTTCAAACATGTGAATTAATGTTCACAAAACACATAAGCTTATAAAATTAAGATTCAGAAGGTTAAGTAACTACTATAGGATTCTGGTTTGTTGAATACCAAATCCTGTACTTTTTGCCACTACAATTTATCATTTATATTACACTCAGGTCTAGTTTCTGCTCCTTACTCTCTTCTCAGTTACTTTCACTTTATCTTTTTGATATAGAGGCTTGCTATTGTCATTAAGACTGGCCTCAAACTCCCTGGCTCAAGTGACCTTCTGCCTCATCTTCCAAGTGGCTGGGACTACAGGCATGTACCACTATATCTGGCTCAATTCCTTTTAGAGGGAAGAATATCATTTTGCAAAGTCTTTAGAATAACATAAGAGTTAACACTAGTCTGGAATTTTTGCCTCAGTCTCTCCTTTCTAGTTTTTGTGAGTTTTCATATCTTCCCTCATCTGTTGGACATTATATTCCTTTTTATTCTGATACTAAGTGGTAGAGAAATGTGTGGTCTCATTGCAAATTCACATCAGCTCACATGATGTGACCGGAAATATGTCCAAACCTTAATCATACCTTAGAAGATGGGAACCAGCTTAAGCAAAATCAAATGACTCTCAGGAAAATGTAAAGAACAGCCCAAGCCTCTTGAGAATTCAGCAAGATGTTTAGAGTTATTTGCAGAGCAGAGCTTCAGTAGTCTTCTCAGGAAGAGTGAATAATCTTGGGATCTTAGGATTCCCCTTAGTGTGTCTGCATCACTAAATGCTTTAATTATATGACCTCCTTGCTCCAAAACTCCTCCCCAGCCTTGTTCCTCCCACTGTTCTGCTCCTTCCTACTCTCCCCTTTCCTGTCTCTGCTCTTTCTCTTGTAGTTCAAACCCAAGGCACACAGGGCTCAGGCTCAATGTCCATTACCCAAACTCTTCCTCAGTGTCTCAAGAACTCTGTGGTCTGGGAATTCCAGAAGTCTCACAGGCTCCTACATTCTCATTTTGAATCTCTTTTTTCAAATTAATGCAGTACTCTGAAAGATGACAGATGGTATTCCCAGAAACAAGCTTTCCTTTGCTTCATTTGAATGTACAATTAGCAAGCTATTTGGGGGAGCGGTATACAACTAAGGTGAGTAGGACTAAACCAACTATTGAAGGGAAACCCCTTCCTTTCTTTGCCCCTGCAGTAGCTTGTCTTGATGTTACTCTGTATGCCACTCTTTATGCCAAATGTGTCATGACCTTAACACATTTGTGGTTTAAATGTTGACTTATTTTTAAATGTCTTCTCATCTTTTATCTGCCCTATGCATGAAGAAACCTGCATGCTCACTTTTTCAAGGGAACTTATTTCTTGAAATAGAACAAATACATAAAATCCACAAATTATACATGTCCTGAAAAAGTTTTCACTGTGTGAATGGATCAGTATAGCCACTAGTGAGATGAAGAAATATCACAACCACTCAAAATTCCTCCTGATTACTATTTCTAATCATCATTCCTTAATGGTGACTCTTCACACACACAAAACTTATAATACCATTATTAGTTGTGCCATTTGCAGTTGTATATAAATGGAACCAGACTTTTGAATTCTTTTGTGTCTAACTTCTTTTCTTCAGCATTGCTTTTGAGAGATCCAGGATACTGTACATGGAAGTTAATTCATTTTCATTGCTGTATTGTATTCAATATATCAATTTTCATTTACCAGGGATAAATGATGCATACCAGAGATAAATGCATTATTGACCAGCTTCTCCATTTTTATATCCTTTGTAATATAACTTTAGTGTCTTTCCACAATGGTTAGGGTATAATTCTCTGCCATTGGTTTGGCCATGTGAGTTGTTTTTGCTTAGAAAACAGCAAGAAAAGTGATTCAGTCTTGGAAATAGTGCTTAGAAGATTGAGCTCTTGTGTCACCACTGTCACCATAAGACAAGGATATTCAGGCTGGCCAGACAGGATAAGCAATCTAAGGAGTGCCTCCCATAGCCCTCAGAGCCTTGCCTAGACTAACTGGCTCCAGGGTCATGAGCTTAAAAAAAAAAAAAAAAAAAAAAGTTGCTCTGAATGACCCAGACTGTGGCTTTAGTTAATTGACACTCCCATCAACAGTAGATGGACCTCAGTGTTGTCTGTTTGAGCTTAGTACCATAATGTTGATAGGAACATCCTTGTGTATGTCTTTTGGTGTACATATCTACAGTTGTCCAAACTGCTGAGTAACTTACAGATTACTAAAAATGGATGTCTATATGCAATTTCCCTTACTAATTTTATCATGAACTATACCATACATACAGACTGTTAAAGTAGCATTTTCATGCCTTTGTTTTCACTTAAGCCTTGGGGGAGATTTAGTCATTACAATCATTCCTAAAGTGCAGGTGTTTGAGAGCTGGCTCTTTACCTGTGTGTGCGGCTGCTGTCTTTCCTGGATTCATGGGTCTTAGGAAGCTACGGGGATTGTTGCTTGGTGGAACCTGAGTTGTGTTTCTTTTCTTTGCCTCTACAAGCTAAGCTGAACCCACTTTGAACTTGTCCCCCAGTTGGTGCCCTTGTTAGGGTCATACATCACCCTCATGCTTCCCTCAGACAACATTTCAACTATATATCACCCAGGGGAGCCAGAGTGCTCCTAAAATATTGCTCTTATACATCAACAAAGTGAGCTGCAGCTGTGGTAATCTATTTGTGTAATACACCATCAGGATGAGGCATATTGATAGGGCAAAGTTGGTCGATCTGTGAATTGTGGTTATCTAGGAGTCAGGTCAAGAGAGTAATACAGATTTCAGGTTGGATTGATGTGGCTATGAATGATATTTTATGATGTAAAGTTTACCTCTGATTTAGAAAGTAATTTAATGTGGGTGACAGCTGAGGTTGGGGCTAAGAAAGGTCGACGTAGCAGATGCCCAGAGCTCTTAGAAGATGAATTTCAGGAATAAATTACTGTTCTTGATACTTCTATGCCATTTTGTGATATGTCAGTGGCAGCACCAGATGATCAGCCTGAAAGGAAAGTTTTGCACATAAAGCAGAAGAAACTTGTTTTCCTGGCTGCCAGCTGAATAAATATGAGGGGAGCGTGGCCTCCTGAAGGCTCTGTTGCCATCTGTTTTAGTTGATTAGAGCTGCATTCTCAGGGTCTTGCTTTTGACCTAATGTTTATGTATTAAAGCAGAAGTTGCAATGTATAAATTATTGACAGTTTCTGAGAGACTTAAAGAGTGTAAGATAATGCCTGGGCAGAGAAGAAACAAGAGATACAGAAAGGTGCAGGGACCCGACCCCAGTTGGTCTTCAGGACTCAAATCAGCAGACACCTATTTTTGTTGCTTTGGAGAGAAGGGTATGTACTGCATTACAGGTATACCCAAAGCTTTGACTAGGCATGGAAAGAATTTTCTGGTGATTCTCAAGAGTTGTCCACAACTTCATTAATACAGTAACCGTCTTCTGCAGTTTGAGTTACCCACAGTCTGTCTGAAAATACTAAAATTTGTCTTGACTCTTTGAAGAAAAATCACATTCTCGTAACTACATTCCCATTTCTTTCTTTTTTTTTTTTTTTGAGACACAGTCTTGCTAAGTGGCTCCATTGCCCAGGCTAGGCTTGAACTTGAGATTCTGCCTCAGATTTCCAGACCACTGGTAATAAAGGTGTACGCCACAGGACCTATAACATTTATTACAATATATTGTTATCATTGTTCTATTATTAATTTCTTAATGTGCCAAATTCATAAATTGTAGTAGGCATATATGTATAGGAAAAAAGCATGGTATGTATTTTTTGGTACTATCCTTGGTTTTGGTCGTCTACTGGGGGGGGGGAGTCTTAAGATGTATTCCCCAGGGATAAGAGAATACTACTATATAAAAACAGTGATAACTATCACTTATGAAATAATTTCTTCACTTAATTCTCACAATAGTCTTATGAGTTAGGTGTTGTTATTGTTTGCCTTAATGTGGAGAAAAGTGAAGCACTGAAATGTTGAGCAACTTGCCCAATGTTACACAGCTAGTAAATGATTAAGAACCCAGTTTATCTGGATCTATAGATTCTGTTCTTCATGATTAAGAGCATAGTCTCAACTCTGGATGCCTGTCATTACTACCTGGATAATTTTTTTGTTTGTTTTAAATACCAATACCTAGTGGACGTCAAGCAAAAATAAACATTGAACTATAGTGGGGGACCTTGATATACCACATTCATGAATAGATCAACTAAACAAACAAAAAGGAATCAAATATCAGAGTTGAACCACATTTTTGCACAATTAGATTTAATCAGTATCTAGTGTTCCACTGAACAGAGTATACATTCTCCTCAGCAATATATGGAACTTTCTCCAAAATAGATTATATTAGTCCATAAATCACAAATACAAAAGAATCAAAATCATCCCATGCATATCATCAGTTCATAGTGCAGTAAAAACCAAAATCAATGGCAGAAGAAACCAGAGAAATTGTGAAAACACACAGAAATTAAACAAAACACTCTTATTCATAATCTGTCACAGAAGAAATTAAGGAAGAAATTAGGCAGTTCCTAGAATCAAATGATAGTGCCAGAACAGCATACAAGAACCTATGGGACAAAAATGAAAGCAGTCCTAAGAGGAAAGTTTATAGCCATGAATGCTCACATTCAAAAAACAAGAGTAAGCTTGAATAAATAACCTAACAATGTACCTAGAAAAACAAGGACAATCAAAATGCAAACCTCGTACGAGGCAGAAAATCATAAAGATCAGAGCGGGAATTAAAAATTGAGGCAGAACAATATAAAAAAAATCCATGAACTGAAGAGATTGGTTTTTTGAAAGATTAAGCAAAACAGACAAATCTTTGGCCAATCAAAAAAAGGGAGGACTGGGGCTGGGGATTTAGCTCAACGACATAAGCAGCTGCCTTGCAAGCAGGCGGTCGTGAGTTCGATCCCCGGTACCGATAAAAATGAAAAAAAAAAAAAAAAGGAAGGACTTAAATCAACAGAATTAGAAGTCAAAAGGGTGAAATCACAACTGATAGAGCTGAGTATCAGGTTATTAGCAGCCACTATGAAAATCTGTATTATAATAAATTAGAAAATCCAGAAGAAGGGGGTAGATTCCTGAATATACCTAAATGACCAAAACTGAACTAAAAAGATATAAAACCCAAAGTAGTCCAGTAACAGCCAATGAAAGTGAGGCAGAAATAAGATACCTCACAATAAGAAAGGTCCAAGACCAAATACATTCACCACCTCACCAGCATTTATTATTTGGTTTCTTGATGATAGCCAGTTTTTCTAGAGTAAAATGGAATTTCAGTGTTACTTCTCTAATGGCCAGTGATGTTGAACATTTTCTCATGTGTTTATTGGCCATTTATACTTCTATGAGATGTCTATTCATTTCATTTGCTTATTTTTTGATTGGGTCTTTTATTTTGGGGGATGTAATTCTTTTGCTTTATTTATATATTCTAGATATTAGTCCTATGTCTGAATTGCAGCTGGCAAATATTTTTTCCCATTCTGTAGGTTAAGATCTGATTTTAAGTTATACCCAATTCAAGTCATAACACGGGTGTTTTTCCCAGTGTGCTACTGAGGATTGAACCCATGGTGCTACATTTGCAGTCCTTTCCATTTTTATTTCATGACATGGTTTTAGGAAAGGAACTGAGGACAATTCTATGGAGAAGAGTGATGGAAAAGGAAGTGCTTAAACACACAAAGCCCCCTCATTTACAGTGGGGGTCATGATCACAACTGCGGTAATAATCACCAATAGTACTGAGGCCCTGTCATGTCCCAAGCATTGTATGGTTCCTCCTCACGACAACCCGAAGCAGGTCCTGTCCTGTCTTATTGTGTAGAGCAGGAGCTGAGGCCCAGGATGTGGCTGAGGCAACCCAGTGATTAAGGGGCAAAGCTGGCATGTGCACCCAGGGACCCTGGCTTCAGGATCTGTGCCATCACTCACAAGCCATGCCCCCTGTGTGGCTACACACCCGCGTGAAGTGGACATCCACACCGTCCTGCCTGCCACTGCAAAGCTTTAAACTTAGCAAGCAGGCGTGGTGTGTACTGGGGTAGAGTCCACCCCAGGGGCCCAGGCATGAGGTGGGCACTGTTCCCTGGAGGGACACATTCCGAGATGACTGAGTGGGCCAGCGTTGCTACCTGCTCCCCTTCAGTTGTTGCTGAATGAAGTCCTTTACCGGATTTGCCTGCTGCCTTTGTGACAGCCTGGGAGCAGCCCTTCCCAGAAGCCCAGCCACATCCCTCTAAGGAGCCACCCAGACGGGCAGGGAGCTGCTCAGACTTGATGGGGAAAATCAGATCGCAGGAGGTTAGCGAGAAGGGATGGGCTGGGGGAGCGGCCTGCAGCCCAGACAGCTGCGGGCTTCAGTTTCATCCTAGTTGCCTGAGTTCTGTATCCCACCGCGTAGGGCTGCTTTTCACCAGGTGTCTGGTCTGCATTCTGCAAGGCGAGGGCAGAGGGTTACCTGATGAGGTCTCCACACCTCCAGTGAGTGAGAGGCACGCATCTCTTTTCCTGCAGCTACCACACCGCACTGGACAGGACTGGGGGAGGAGGGAGATGATGGGAAACAGAACCCCTCCTAGTTCTCATATGCTCTTCTGTTGGACTGTACACCTGTCAGGGACTCCACAGAGCCAAGGTCCACGGGCTGCAGGGCACAAATGGAAGGCCATCTAGGGTTAGACCTGCTCCAGCCAGGGCTATAGCCCATCTGCCGCCAGCTCCAGGAATAACACCAGTCAGAAAAATCCCAGTTCCAGAAAGGCAACGCTTGCTTTGTGCTCAGGCTTCAAACAGAGCCCTCAGAATCCAAGGGATGACAGTTTGAGATCATAGCTCCTAAAGTAAGAATTTGTCTTCTCCAGTCTTATCCTGTTGATGCTTGAATCTGAAAAGAACCCAGGCAAAGCTCTCCCTGGGACTCGGGCCTATGCAGTGCCTTGAAGTGGGTGGGAAGGGTTAAGGCCAGGATTTGCCAAAGCTTGTTCCTGTTTCTCTCAAAAGTACTAAAAGGGAATGAAAGAGGAGAACGTGACCTATGTTCTGTTCCACGTGCAGGTCATGAGAGCAGATAGGGCAGCCACCAGCTGATCCACATCCTTGCTGCCCCTGCTTGCAACTGATGTCATCTGTATCTTATCTATCACAAGAGTGCAGGATCAGATTTCCAGCCCCCAGTGGACATCTTCCTGCTTCTTGGGCCACCTGGAGGCGGGGAGGGCTGGTCTCTCTCATGGTTTAGGGAACTGCTGAAGAACTTCTAGCAGGTATAAATTCATGTGCTCAGGGAGTGAAAGAGCAGGGAAAGGAAGGAAGGAAAGAAACACCAGCTACTCGGGTCCTGGGTGAAGATACTGGTTGAGCACTGGAACAGACCCGTCATTTAACAGGCACCCCCAGGGCCTCTGTCTAGGCTCCTTCCCTTCCTTCTATACCTCATTCCCCACCTAGTCCCAGCCCTTCAAGTACCAGGAGTGGACCCAGGAGTGGATGCACCAGGAGCGGTTTTTACAGAGAGAGATAGAGACTCAACAAGTACACCAGGAGAGCTGTGTTACTAAAAAGGGGGTGGGGTGGGGCACGAATCAGGAAAATGTCACATCACTGCCACAGTTGGGACTATTGGAGAAGCAACATAAAAGAAAAGAATCTTGTCTCTGGGGAACTACGAGGACTGAGGGAAAAGGGAGTAACAGCCAGGGAGGAGACTGTCAGGCTCTACTCAGAACTGCAGTCAGAGAGGAAGACAGGGAGAATGGAGAAGTCAGACACAGTGGGACATGTAATCCCAGCACTGTGAGGGCCTGGGGCAAGACAATTAAAATTTCAGTGCTAGCCCAGGCAACTTATCAAGACACAGTCTCAAAAATAGAAAAGTCTGGGGATGTTGCTCAGTGCAAAGATCCTGGATTTAATCCTCAGTATCACAAAAAAGAAAAAAGAAAATGGAGAGAGATGGACTGCTTGGCCAGGATAATCACATAGGACCATGAACCCAACCCAATCCATGCACTTCTATGCGAGGGGTGAAATCTGTGGGTCTGGGTTCTGGGTCTCCCTCCTATCAGACAGCCCCTTGGGGCATCAATCAGGCAAGGCTCACTCTTTTATTTTTAAATGATGCTAGCAACTAGTCTCTGGAACCCAAAGCAAGGCCACAGACAGAGGACATTTTGAGGGAGCCTCAAGACTGATTGGAGGGGAGGCACAAAACCAGTCCTGAGTCACATACTGAGTGTCCAAACCCCAGCAGGCCAGAATACAGAAGTGGGGACCCTTCTGGCTGGGTCACCCTCACAGGAGCAGCACTGGCCATTGGAGAGTCCCGACCTTTTCAGAGAGCACCACTCTACTTCTCTTCCAGGCTCAGGCCACTTGTCCAGTGCATTACTAAAGAGAAATTCCTTAAGGCTGGACTGTGCTGGAAGGGGCCTTCTGCTCAGCCTTCACCACTGCCAGAACCATTTATAGTACACTAAGGTCTGAAGACCACAGGTGAGGCATAGGGCTTGTCCTGAGAACGATCTCCCCACCTTCCTTAATTAAGACTGCTTGGAGAACAAAGCTACAGATTTCCTTCCCTGGAAGGCACACAGACACTTTGTTACTCACACAGTGGATAAGTGGGTGGACAGGGCTACCACACAGCCCCAGGCTAAGGACCCTGTTTTCAGGAATCCTGTTTCCTGGACCCTAAGTCATGGGGAGGGGCCCTAAATTCTAAGATGCCACCTACAAGTTGTCTGCGGCGTCGACCTCTACTGCCCTCTGATGGTGAGACCAGGTTAATGAGGCTTGGCCCCTTGCAGGCATTGGAATGGAGCAGTTTCTACCCCCTGAACGCTAGGGGCAGAGGGCCTTCGCGGCCTCTCTAGGTTTACGCTTCCGTGGGGTGGGCTGGGTACCGGGGCTCCATGGGGTCGCACAGGAAGGCACAGCAGCACAGCCCAGGGTTGAAGTAGCACCCACCTCTCAGGTGGACTCAGCACCACTCCTCAGAGGCTACCAGGGGGGTCCCTGGAGGCAGAGTTCAGTCCACCCCTGCTCAGCAAAGGGTGCTGGGAAGGCCTGGTGCCTGGACAGAACGGCACAGTATTTGTGACACACATGTATTTGCTGGGAGTAGTGGACACAAGGAAGCAGAGGTACAACTGGGGAGAGGTCAGGCGCTGCAGAGGACGAGACCACCTAGTATTCCTCGTTCTCGTCCTCCTCTTCCACAAAGTCCATGGCCACATCTTCATAATCTCTTTCCAGAGCAGCCATGTCTTCTCGGGCCTCGGAGAATTCTCCTTCCTCCATGCCCTCGCCCACGTACCAGTGCACAAACGCCCGCTTGGCAAACATCAGGTCAAACTTGTGGTTGAGGCGGGACCAGGCCTCAACAATGGCGGTGGTGTTGCTTAGCATGCAGACTGCCCGCTGCACCCGGGCTAGGTCGCCCCCAGGCACCACGGTGGGGGGCTGGTAATTGATGCCAACCTAAGAAGAAACAGAGAGTGGTCTAAGCTGCTGGCTCAGTGAGTCCTGGGAGAGGTCTGCCCCAACAATGTGGCTGGGGAAGGGGTGGTTCCCAGCATTTGGCATTTGCCCACCTGTAAGACACAGGTAGAGAGAAGAGACCGCTACTTCCAGGAATAGACAAATCCAGAACGTGGGCCATTCTATGAGAGGACGCTGGTGCCTCCAGGTCACTGCCCAGAAACAGGGTGGAAGCTGGGCAGAATCAGGCCCCCACAATCCCAACCCCCGAAGAGGATGTAGCCAGAGGGTGGGAAGTCCGAGCCCAGCCTGGGCAACACAGCAAGACTCTGTCTCAAAGGAAAAAAGGGCTCAAAATAAAAAATAAAATTGGAAAAGGGAATAAACTTAGATGTGAAATCTGGGGAGTGGGTAATGGCTGTTAGCTGTACTAGCCTCTTTCCTGTAGGTTAGGAAATGAAGTTGAACATAAAACTCTGAAAATCTCCAGCTGAATCTAAAGTTAACCTTCTTAAACACTGGTCTATCCTGAACACAGAATATTGAAAACATTTCCTATTCAGGACTCTCCCACCCCCTCATGTAATCATGGTCACCTCGCCATGAATGCCTCTGGGGACAGCAAGCCTACCGCTTCCTACCAGAGCAGCCTGTTCTTCCTTTGAGCAGCTCGAGCTCTTCCTAAAGGGAAGCAGGGTGATCTCCCCTCCAGTATCCCACTCCATGCTGCACTGCAAACAGCTTTTCCACACTAGCAAGGGGCCAGCATCTTTATAAGCCGGGTCCCTGCCTCCTGCTCACTGTGGTCATGCCCGCAGCAGTGTCACAGGGCTGGAAAGCTGCACCTGTCTTCTAAGGCCCTGGCAGCCACATCGATTCTTCCCAGTCCTAACCCCCAGAGCAAAGCACCGATGGCTGAAACGGGGCCTCATTCCCAGCATCCTGGGAGCGGGAACTGATAGCAGTGCAGACATAAACAAGTTCTGCATGACTGCAAAACCAACTGCCTTCACAGGTGCAGACACAGAAGTCTCCTGAGCTGTCTCCCAGTCTGACAGAAGGTCTCTCTGGGCTTTCACAAGTGTTCCCGTCAGAGCGGGAGCCAGACCACATGGCCGTGTCACTGGCACTTGCGGGTGAGACCATTCCCCGCTACTTGACGGGCGCACCCAGGGAAAGCGTACCCGCCAGGCTAAGTGGCAGGAAACTGGATCCTTGTCCTTTTACAAAGGTGATCTTTTAGGGAGAACCCAATTGTGACCTCTGGTCCAAAGGCCTGGCTTCAAGGCCACATGGGATGGACCAAGTTAAAGGCAGCTTCTGAACCTGCACTTCGCCCTGTTCATGCCTTCCCAGCATATCTGTCCTTCATGCCTGCAGCTCTGGGGGAATCTCCCTCCTGAAGGCTGCACAGGTCACAGGCTAAGCCCGCCCTTCATCCCCAACTTACCTTGAAACCTGTGGGACACCAGTCCACAAATTGGATGGTACGCTTGATCTTGATGGTGGCAATGGCAGCAGTCACATCCTTGGCAACCACGTCTCCACGATAGAGCATGCAGCAGGCCATGTACTTGCCATGGCGAGGGTCACACTTGACCATCTGATTGCAGGGTTCAAAGCAGGCATTGGTGATGTCTGATACCGAGAACTGCTCGTGGTAGGCCTTCTCAGCCGAGATAATGGGTGAGTAGGTCACCAGGGGAAAGTGGATGCGGGGATAGGGCACCAGGTTGGTCTGGAAGTCTGCGAGGTCCACGTTGAGGGCGCCATTAAAACGCAGGGAGGCGGTGATGGAGGACACCACTTGGCTGACAAGCCGGTTGAGGTTGCTGTAGGTAGGGTGCTCGATGTCCAGGTGGCGATTGCAGATATCAAAGGTGGCCTCATTGTCCATCATGAAGACACAGTCGGAGTGTTCCAGACTGGAGTGAGTAGTCAGGATGGAGTTATAGGGTTCTACGACCGCTGTGGACACTCGGGGCGATGGGTAGATGACAAACTCCAACTTGGACTTCTTGCCATAGTCTACAGAAAGCTGCTCCATCAGCAGGGAGGTAAAGCCTGAGCCAGTGCCACCTCCAAAGCTATGGAAGATCAGGAAGCCCTGAAGACCACTGCACTGGTCTGTCTAGAGGAGGAAATAACACTGTTAAGGATGCAGAGGACATGTACTGTTCCCAATCCTCTGTGTAAGGAACTCTTTCCTGTCCTGCAAGGAGGGTCTGATACTCAATGACAACTGCATGCACTTCTGTATATCGATGACTGAAGTTTGCACCTAAGTATGTGTGTTTTATACATACAAATGCATGCTTTGACAAGCACTGTGTCTACATACTCAGTCAACTTAGACAAATTTCCATCAACCACAGAAGTACCCTCCTGTTCTCTGCTTCTCCTCTATAGACCTAAGAGCAGAGCACCTAGAGGGGGATCAGCGCTCCTGGGAGACAGCTGACCTAGGAAGACAGTGCTGCGTACAGCGGCAGGAGTGAGGTTGGGAGAGAGGAGGTTGAGGAAGGCACAGAACTTGTAGTCAGAGAGCTGGGCTTGCTCAGTTACACTGCTTGGCACCCACCTGAATCCAGGAACCTGCAGGTTTGCCAGCTGCCCTAGATCATCCTGATGTAAGTGTTCCTTGCACTAGAAAAGCACCACTCTATACCAAACACACAGGAAATGACTGTCTACGAAACGGCTAACGCTAGGAGATGCTTTGTTTTGTTTGCATTCTTGAGGAGGAGAACATGGAATCCCGTGCCTTGGGTTCTTCCTGGAATGTACACAGGCCTCAGTCTCTACTGAGTGGCAGAGAGAACGTCCAGAGCAGTTGTAAGGAACCTTTTAGAGCTTTCAGTGGTACAAAGACGTCACTGGAGTACACACACCCAACACTCATGCAGAGGATCCCTGTAGAGCAACAGAGCCCAAGTACTGGCTCCCCGCTGGCCGGACTCTCAGTGCTTTGGGCAGGGGATGGGTACAGTGGACAGTGGTTAGGAGCTGCGCAGAGCCTCTCCCAGCAGGAAAGACTACACAGGACCCTAAGAACAACAAACTGAGCAGCTGTAAGGGACAGATCAAAACCCAAAGGAGTCTTGGATCAAGCAGACAGGTCACATCTCCAACTCTAGGTCCCTCCCACATATGAGACAGAGCTCCCCCTAGGGGAAGCTGAGTAGACAGACAGGACAGAGGAGTGGGGTCAGGTTCCAGCCACCGGCTGGGTTTCCCAGTCTTCCTGCACAAGTCAGCCTGCCAGGCCAGGGAGGGAGGCTAAGGCTGCAGTGCCCTCCTGTAGGTGTCAGCGGCACCTGGACCCACTCACCACTTTTCGGATTTGGTCCATCACCACATCGATGATCTCCTTCCCCACGGTGTAGTGGCCACGGGCATAGTTGTTGGCAGCATCTTCTGTGCCTGATATCAGCTGGTCAGGGTGGAAGAGCTTCCTATAAGCACCAGTTCTTACCCCATCTTGAAGGGAAGAGATGGGGGGCAGAGGTAAGCAAGGCTGGTCTCATCCCCTAAAGAACACAAGGCCCTAGAACCTAAGCTCTCCTGAGTGTGACTGCATGACAGTGATAGACACCGGGAGCTTCAGAAGCCACTTCTAAAGCCTAGAGTTACCTGGGCCTGAGGGGGATGTCAGGTGCACCTTTAACAGGCTTTCTACTGATTGTGGCCACTCCTTTTTGCTAGGGAGGAGTTAGAGGATTCTCACTTCTGTTTAGGGTAAGAACACAGAGTAAAGGAAAAAGCCCCATCCAGTTTAACTTCCTCAGCTGTCTCTTTGCAAAGGTGGGGAGGTTTTCACAGTGGGCTCTGAGGAGCTCCAGACACAGAAGGAACAAGCAGCAATGCCCCTGGGAGCCACAGGTTCGCACAGGCCCAATCCTCTGTTGCAGGGACCTACTAGGAATGTTCCCAGCTCCCAGTGCCTGAGGCAAAGCTAACCTCAAGAGCCCGAGGGGTGGGAAAAGGAAGTCTCCTCTCCATTCCACTCCAGTCTGGCCTTGACTCAAACATTTGCTATTTTCCTGGCAGAATTGTGTCACCAATTGTCCTCCCAGCATAGGAAGTCCCCAGGAACCCTCCTGAAGGCAGCATCTAGACAAAAGCAGCACACCTCAGATTCTGGCACTGTGCCTGGCAAGGGACTGCCTACATCCCAAGTGCTCTCCCCCTAAGCAGAGCTTCCTGTCGACATTGGGGTTGGCGAGAAGTATGGGCTGATCACTCACCTACGACCACAGGCTCCAGGTCCACAAAGACAACCCGGGGCACGTGCTTGCCAGAATCTGTCTCCGTGAAAAAAGTGTCAAAGGAGTCATTTCTGCTCTGCTGGGTCTTGTTTCTCGGTATGGTGCCATCAGGCTGGATGTGGTGCTCCAGGCAGTAGAGCTCCCAGCAAGCGTTGCCCATCTGCACCCCAGCCTGGCCCACGTGAATGGAGACGCACTCATGCTGGTGGGAGCAGAGGGAGATGCTGTGAGCTGGCTTGGGGCTTGAAAAGGTGTTCCTGGGAGCAGTCCTTATCCTTCTTCCCCAAAGCCTGAAGCTGAGAGGTACCTCACTGAAACCCAGAAGACTGGCTCCTCTGTCCAAGCCTCCCTCCACCTGCAGCCAAACCACCTCCAGGGTCTCATTCCCTTTAGTTACTCAGGACTTAAGTGGTGGCTGTGCCCATGTCTTACAGGGCAGGGACTAGAGGAAGTCAAAGCCAAACAGCCAAATCCCAATGTGCGGTGGCCTTTCTGCTGGCTGTGGAGGCTCTGGGTCCTGTACTGCAAGACAGGGTCCCCTGGAGGTTCTAAGATCAGACTCTGGGACCGAGATCCAGAGCTACTGTGACAAAGATCTTTGTTGAGGCCTGCACATTACCTGAGGAAATTATGGTCAGCCATATGTTCTCCTTATTAAAGAGACTTTTGCCCAATCTGGACACCTGACACTGTCCACTGCAATCAATTGCCTAATCCAAGCAAGTAAGTACACTCAGGGTTTCAACTGAGGGCAGAAGACCCATTCCCTCGGTTCTCCTCCCTCAGGTCCGTCCCATGCTGGACTGACTTTCCCATCTCCTCGTTCTGTAGTCCAGAGGACGTCTCAAAGGACCGAGCACTTCTCGGTTGCAGGAAGAGCTGTGTACCAGGCAGCAGCCACCCTCTGGCATCTTAGGAACTGTCCTCCAAGACCACCTCAGAGCCACCCAGAGGGTTCTGCGCATACGTGGGGCTCAAGAGATTTCCATGAGGATGGGGACCTGTGTGCACCGCAAGCCCTCCGTTTTCACTGAGGACCCAAAACAACAGGCAGGTAGAGCAAAGAACAGCATTTATTCCCCAGACATGGAGAGTTTAGTTTAGAGAAAGTCCTGGTCAGGTATGGAGTCAAAGGGGCTGACCTCTGGTCTGGGCGCGCTGACCAAGCTAGGGCACTGCCGGGAACTCCTGCCCTGGAGAAACCCGTGCAGGTCCTTGGCCATCCCAGGTCCATTGGCTATCTTGACGAGGCGGGGACTGTAGTTGCCCGTGGGCACCTCTGCGGGGTGGGGGCCCCTCGGTCCTCTCCAGACTCCAGGGCGCGCCCCGCCGCAGACAGCAGACCCTGCATCCTGGGCTGGAGCGAAGCGCACCGAGCCGCGCACCACTTTTTGCCCCGCACCTCCTCTCGCCGCTCGGCCCAGACCACAGCTCTGTCCCGCGCTCAGGACTCCGTTAGCTCACATCCGCCTCGCTTAGGTAAGGAGGCAGGGAAGCAGCCCCGGCCGGCCCGCACGGCCCACCCTCGCCATGAACCCCAAACACTCCCGGGTCCCCTGCGCAGCCAGCCACACCCTGGCCTGCCCCGGCGACCCTCCTACCCGCGCAGCCCGCCCTCTCACAGAGCCAGGCTTCCTCCTCCAAGCGGCATCCTCCCCCCGGGCCCCTCGAGTGCCGCAGCCCCCGCTCACCATGGCTGCGCGCTCAGGCGAGGCTCCTTGGGAGCGGCCCAAAGCAGCAGCGCCAGGAGTCCCCGGCCACAGCGCGACTCCGGGATCGGCGGGCTCGCCGGGGCTAGTTCATCCCGGCCCGCCCTGGCCCCGCCCCCAGCGGGGCTCACGCTGATTGGTCCGCAGCCGCCACGCGTCAGCCCGGTCCCTCCCCACCCCGCCCACCCGGGCCCGGGGCCGGCCCCCTGCACCCGGGCGAGCTGCCCGGGCTCGGTCCTTGCGGAGCCGGCGGGCGGGCGGGGAATTCAGCCCAGGGGAGGCCGAGGCTGGAGCATGCCGGCTCCCGGTCAGCTCGAGTCTCTCCTCTGCTGGAGTGGGTACCCGCTCCGCGAGGGACAAAGCTCATCCTGTTTTTGCATTGGGGCTTCGCACCGTGCCTGGTTGGAAACGCGCGTGACCCTTGCAGGGAGGCGCGGACTTGAGCTCAGCGAGCAGGAGCGGAGGAAAGACGCGGTGGGAAACCAGGCGCTGCGCTTCCCGAGGGGAGGAAACGCAGCTGGTGAGCCGAGGGGTGAGCGGCGGGGCCAAGGGCGCGGCCTGGTGGAGACGAGCTTCCCTCCTCTCACTGGGCGGCAGCTCGCTTCAGGGCACTCGATTTTTTTAAAATGCTGCATTTATCAGAATCAACAGTAAACACTGAAGGATGTGCTAACTTTTTTGTTGTTAACTCTAGACATTCAGTAAGCAGTTTGGGCTAGAACTGTATTATTACTTTCACACTAGAGAGGTGACACCTGACCTCTGACTCCCAGGAGCTGGTAGATTAAGGAATCCCGCAGTAGTAATATTCACCATCATGTAAGACACTTTTCTTCAGGGTTTCCGTGGGACAAGAAAGCACCCAATATTGGGCTGAAAACATATGAAGACAGAAGAGCCTAAAATAATCAGCAACTCAAAAGTCTTACAGACATCAGAGTGCCAGCCTACGCTGACTTTGGGGGCCATCAAGTTAACCCTAAGAATTGTCTCTGTCACAGCCTGGAGAGCCCGCCGCTGCGGGGGTGCCTGGAGAGCGCTGGGTTACTCAGACGAACACCTGTAGCGTCAGAAGTCTCAGTACTTCAAAGCTCCATAAACACGACGTGTTCTTTTCCTGCTTAGGTTCTCTTCTCTTCCTTTTCTTTTTGTTTTATTCTTCCTTTTCGTTTTCCAGTTTCCACTGGACCTTGCCCTTCTCCACTCCTCTACTCATCGGTATCTCAAAGCTTACTTCTTTCTCATCTTTCTGCTTCTTTCCGCAGTGGGTAACAGGACATGCCATAACACAGCCACACAGCCAGATGCTCTTCTAGCACAATTCTGAGCCTGTGAACCGGTGGTTTGGTGAATTGGGTCAGTCTATTTTATTTATTGATTTATTTGTTGGTACTGGGGATGGAACTGACAAACTCTTGCTTACCAGGCAGGTGCCTGAGCCGCTGAGCTAAATCCTTGATCTGGTTGAATTCATTTTTAAAAATGTAAGCAAGCAATAAAAAGGTAGAAGACTTGAATCCAGGAGCTGTGAACTTTAAATCCATCATCTGTTCCTAACAGACTGACTGGACCCTGGACATAGGTAAGTCTGTGTAACTCTACCTAGTTCCCCATCTTCTGGCAGGGCTTGCTGACACCGTTACAATATATGATGAAGAATTTTAATTCCAGCCACCAGGTATTCAGAAAACAAGTGTAAAGCATGGCATTGAATGTAGAGGTGGATTACACATTGTGCTTTGTATTCAAAGTGTTTCTAGCACCTGGTAGTGCTGCTGAAGCTCATAAGTCCCAGTTTCTCTCAATATTTAGAAGTCCATAACTACTGAAGCATGCTTTAGAAAGCAGATTGTGTGCAAATACTTGTTTTAACAAATATCTTACCAAACCTCCCTTACTTGAATTGTTTTTTTCCTGAGTGGAATCTGCATCAGTGTTAGAGCTGACAGACTGACTGAAGTTTTGCTGCTGTCACCGATTCTTACAAGAGCAATACGTCCAGGCTGCCAGAGCAGATTGAAGGGGGCTTGGAGGAGGAAGCTGGAAAAGCGGGGTGGGGCCTGGAATGTTAGGCTAAGGAGCTCCACAGAAGCCGCATGGCCAAGGACTCCACTGAGGCTGTCTCTGCAGAGGAGCGACCTGATTAGAACAGCCTTTGAAGCAGTAATTGGTGTCATGCATGTGTTTTTCCAGTGGCTGCGTCACACTGTTTCATGGTAAAGGGCAGGCACTCCTGTTTCCCCCACCTAGCTGTCCCTTGTAGTTTTTCTTTTAAATACCTCAGCATAAGGAGTTAGCCCCTTGCTTAGTCTGGGAGGGTCAATTGATGTTGGTCTTATCAAATGATTGGCCCCTCACCCCACAATGATGGCCTATGATATTTCTGTAGCCCATTCCAGAGGAACTCAACTGTCATTGCATTGTAACATTGTACTACTCTGGCACAAAGAAGGATACATTTGAGGCATTTGAGGCCATAATGCTAAGAGAAATACAATGGACACAAGAATTTAAATATTTCATGGTTTCTCTTATATGAAAAACCAGAAGTATAGATAACAGAGTTAAATAAAAGATAAGAAGAAACAGGGAGATAGATCTTTTGAACTTGGATGAGGACAAAGATATGGAGGGAAGGGAGAAGAAGAGAACATAAAGAGAAGGCAGATATGTTATATATATTTATCCCCACGATGACTGTAACCATGAACATGTACTAATAAAAATAAAAATTAAGATCAACAACTGAATCTTGACCTCCAGAGGTTTTAATTTGATTAGTATAGTGAAAAGTTCCATAAATGCATTTTTAAAAACTTTCTATTTTATATTTGCAGTCAAAGATGAGACTTATCTCAGTGTCTGTCAATAAGGGTCACTTACTTTTAAAATGTTTTATACAACTGGACCATAAAAGGGTCGGGGATTTAGCACAGAGGTATAAGCACCTAGCTGGCAAGCACAAGGTCATGAGTGCAACCCCTGGTGGGGAAAAGAGAGGGGGTCAAAATTATTTGTAAATTAGAACCCAGCAATGAATTCTAGAGCCCTGAGTAGTGGGGACTCCCCTCCCCCCCGCATCACTGAGTTGCTCATTGGCTGGATGGCGATGCCTGCAGGCCAGGAAAGCTGCAGGCACCCTCGTGGAAGCTCCTAGCATCCCTCCCTCCTGTCCTTGGTAAGTCCTCAGCCTGTGGCTACCTAACATAACTCAGGAGCCTTTTCAGATGTTGAAAATGTTTGCTTTTAAACTTACACAAACTTGTAGAAAGACTAAAACAATTTTACCCCTTATCTCAAGTGGAATGAGTATTTTGTTCCAACTGAGATGCCTGTCATAGTCCCAACCAGTCATGACAAGCAGCGCTTGTGTGTTGTCCCTTAAGGCAGCTGTGACAGGACCATGTGTGGTTGTGTTTGGACTTCCTTCCCTCTGATGTCCCCACCCAACCCGGAGCAGGGTCTCCCTTTGTTCTATTTCTTGCTGGCTGAAAGTGTAAATCAGTGTTACAGGCCAATGGAACATGGCACAAACCACATCATCTGCACATACATTGTCATTTTTAACAAAACAAAACCAAACCACAGTTATTCTAGAGTTGTCTATTTAATATGTGGCAGAATGCAGGTAAAACTAACATCCTAATGTTGCCATTTCTTTTGAGAAATACACAATGTTAATATTTTTAATAAAGCATGCGAAATAACCTGAAAACGACAAACTTTTCAATGCTAATACAGAGTATAAGTCTTTCTAAGAAACTCTTGATTTTAAGTCAAAGCTTGTGACTCTATTAATATGTAACTGCTGAGCAGGACTATAAAATGTAAATAATTTTGGAAATTGATAGTCTTTTAAAATATAATTGAATGAATTTAAAATGTCTGTGAAATCTTAGTTTCATAATAGTTTGTAGGTTTCATAGTAAGTATTTTTATAACTTTAAGTAGGTGTCTCTTATATCAGAAAAGGATAATTACTATGGAGAAAATCAAATAGATCAAAGAGGACAGAAAGTGAGAAGGTAGTAATTGAGAGTATTTTATGTAGGGTAGGTCCTTAGTTTAGGCTGCTATAACAAAATACCACAAAATAGGTCACTTACATGACACATTTTTATCACAGTTCTGGAGGCTAGGAAGTCTAAGTTCAAGATTTGGTATCTGGGGAGGGCCAGCTGTGATTCACAGATGGCAGTTTTTGCTGTAAGTTCATGTGGCAGGGGAAGCAAGCTCTCCAGGATTCATATGGTCACTAATACTATTTATGTGGGCTCCACTCTCATGACCTTGTAATCCTAATTATTTCCAAAGACCCCACCTCCTGTCACTATCACATTAAGGCTAGGGCTTCCACTAATATACTTGAGGTAAGCACTAACACTCATAACAGGGAAGATGGGAGACCTCGATGCAATGACATATGAGCAGAGATCTGTAAGAAATAAACCAACCACACAGATGGCTGGGGGAGGATATTTGAAACAGAGGAGACAAAAAGAACCTACATCAGCAGAGAAGAGTCTGACTAGTAAGGGGAAACGGTTAGAGCATGTTAGGGGCTTATACTCATAAAGACTTTGAGTTTAATTCTAAGTAGAAAACTACTGGCGTATTTTACATAGAGGAATTATATGGTTTATTTAAGTGTTGAAAAGTGTACTCTTTCTGCTTTAGGGAGCAGAACTGGGATAGATAAGGCTCAAGGCCCAGCAACCCCACTACTGGGTATGTATCCAAAGGAAATAAAATCATTATTTCCAAGACTCCCAGCTCCCATGTTCATTGCTGTATTATTCACTAGTCACAACTGCCAAGATATGGAACCAACCGAACTGTACATTATGAATGGATACAGAAAATTGGTACAAATCCACAGTAGAAATGGTTCAGCTTTATGGAAGTGTCATTTGTGGATAGATAAAACTAGAGTACATCATGTTAACTGATATAAGTCAGGCACAGCCGTTGCTGAGACAAAGTAACATCCAAAGTTAAAGGAAAATAAGTTTATTCCAACTCAGTTTGTAGAGGTTTCAGTCCTTAGTTGGCTGACTCCATAGCAATGGGGGATTGAAGAGATTAAACAGTTCATGT